TATGACTCTACTTTTACCCCTTCTTTCTCTAACTAATCTGTTTTTGTTCTTCAAGATTGAATTCAAAAGTCTGATATTCTGAGAACTCACAGATATACACCTGAATGAAGGAAAACTAAGGAGTTAGTTTGATACTTTACTCCTGTGTATATTTGCATAGTATGCTGTGTATAGGCATTCTTACTGCAATGTATTAGAAGTGCATCTCAAACTTTCCCATAGAAGCACCCAATGGGAGAAGAAATTGTACTATATTCATAACCTTCCTGAAAGCCTAAATTGATGTAATGTCTACCCTCTTAGCCTTCAAAATAAGGGGAATTTGATTCCATAGAATGTGTATATTTCATCTAATGTAAAAACTATTTATTTATTGCTGATCCTGGGGCTTGAACTCAGGGCCTGGGCACTGTCCCTGAGCCTCTTTGTGCTCAGTGCTAATGCTCTACCACTTGAGCCACAGCTCCACATCTGGCTTTTTCTGAATAGTTTATTGGACATAAGAATCTCATGGACTTTTCGGCCTGGACTGGCTTCAAACCATGATCCTCAGATCTCAGCCTCCTGAGGAGCTAGGATTATAGGCGTGACCTACTGGTGCCTGGCATAAAAACAATCTATGTCATATGAAATAAATCATAAAATTAATATATACAAAAAAGAAAAATTAATTATTTGCCTTGGAATAAAATTATCTTTGTCCAAATTACAAAGTTTATCCTGAATTTTAAATGTTCACTGTGTATTGCCCCATTCTGTTCTCCTGAATTCCTTATTAGCCAAATTGGATAGATAGTAAGCATTTTGATGGCAAAACTTAATATTTATTACCTCTAGAGCTAGCATGTTAATGTTTGATCTTCTACTGAAAAGAAAACTGAATGAAAGGTCGGTATTAATCGGTATTAATAGATGGTAAATGTTAGAACTATGAAAATTGTAAACAATCTTTTTTTTTCCTTAGAAAAAGATATGGGTAATGATGTGTAAATTGTGTGGTTTTTTTTTTATAGAGACTGGCAATAGCACTCAGGGCATTATACATGTTAGGCAATTACTCACTGAGCTATACCCTCAGATGGAAATTTATGTTTCCTAAAACCACTTTCTAGGTTATAAAGTATAATACTTTTTAAAACTTTTTGTAGTTAAATATCCAGAGTACAGAGAAATGATTACACATTGTAAGTGTCAGTCTCAGTACATTTTTACACACTACACACTCAAATAACCAACATCCAAATCTACACCAAAGTGGCATAAGACTTCACCTTCTTCTTATCACATCACAGCCCTTTGCACACTGTGATATCTTTCTTTTTTTTTTTTTTTGGCCAGTCACGATGCCTGAACTCTGGGCCTGGGCACTGCCCCTCAGCTCTTCAGCTCAAGGCTAGTGCTCTACCACTTGAGCCACAGCACCACTTCCAGCTTTATTTGCTTATGTGGTGCTGAGGAATCGAATCCAGGGCCTCATGGATGCAAGGCAAGCGCTCTACCACTGAGCCACCTTCCCAGCCCCCTGTGATATCATTTTATACTCGAATTTCAGGACAAATAACAAACTGAGAAGAAAAGAGCACTTGCTTAGCAAGTATTGGGACCTGATTTCAAACCTTGTACCATAAGAAAAGAAAAAAAAAAGGGGGGGAGGGGGGAGGCTGGGAAGGGATGTGAAGGGTAAACAAAGGAGGAGGCTGCAATGCTTGGTAAGAAATGTACGCATTATCCTGCCCATGTAACTGTAACTCCTCTGTACAGTATGTTCACAAATAAAATTAAATTAAATTTTAAAAAAAAAAAGGAAAAAATATTATCTTAGTCTATAACAAATCAAGTGAATGATCTAATATTTATAATAGTCATTTTTGTAACCTACACTTTTCACTATGTAGTGAAAAAAAGTAATTTAAGTACTAGTCATAGTCTACATTTAATTTTTAATTTAATTAACATTGAGAAGCTCACTTTTGTTTTTAACTTCTTACGAGCAGTAGTCAAATTACCGTACTTTTTGTTTGGCTTATTTGACTCTCAACAAGGAAGAGACTTGCTTTTTCTTCATGGGATATTTGGTGATGTCCAACTTGGTATGCCTTTCCTGGAGGGTGTTACTGACATCTAGTGGATAAAAAATGTAACTAATTGACACCATAAATAAGAATTATCTAGATTAAAATGTCATTAGTTCCAAGATTGACAAAAATATTTTCTGAAAATGAATACTTGTTTATATTTGTTACAAGTAAGTCTAAATAAGTTATAGCATCGCATTAATGAAATTTAAGGTGGCAGAAGTTTTATTCTAATAGACACTAATTTATCTTTCTCTAGCTCATGTATGTTGGTCCCTAATTAGAAGCCTTGAACATTTTTGCTACCAATTCCAAGAACAAAATCAGACAATGTACAGTAGATAGCTTAGTTAGTAAAAGTCCATCACCACTTCTGGGAAAATAATATGATGTTTCTACTTAATCTAGTTCTTCCTCTGGGACTAGTTCTCAGTAGGATGGAATCAGGTTGTAATCTCTGAATAATAGCCTTGCTTACTTTCGTTACTGCTTCCTGAATTTATGGCCTTCAAACTTGAAGCAGCAAATGTTAGATAGAGGTAGTTTAACTTCAGTCAAAGTCTCCTGCCATTTACTTTTCAGTTTCAGGGAGAGTCCAGTCTCTATAAACATTCATATCTAAAGTCTCAAGAAAAAAAATGCCTAAGCCACATACACTGGCAAATTCCTGGACTGTATAGTGAGACACTATCTGAAAAGTAATTGTTTAATAAAGTAATTAAGTAAAATATTGCCTAAAAATGACAATACTACAAATTAAGATTTGTATAGTTACAGCTGTCTCTAAGCTTAATTACTAGTTTAAAATGTGATTAGTTTAGAAATTATTCTTTTAACTGCTCATCCAGCTGTGACAGCTATATAAATGAAAACATGAAAAATTACTTGGTATGAATTTCATAAAATAGTCTCAGTTTTGTAGTAAGTTGTTTATTTGTAATATGGAAGCATATTTTTATTAGTATCTTGGTCTTCTAAGAAGAGGTTAGATCTAGACCTTTTGTAGTTTCTAACAGAAATTTGATATATTTGATGTTTGGTATAATGGAAGGAACAACAGCTTTCATATCAAATTAAAGTCCAAATGCCCTTGAACAGTTGAAAGTTAGAATACTTAACTCTCACTAACGTACCTAAAAGAAGGATAATTCAGTGGCAATAAGTATAGCTAGATGTGGTGGTAGATACTTGTAATCCTAGCGCTGAAGGAGGATAAGGCAGGACTACAGAGCAACACCCTGTCTCAAAAAGGAAAAATAGAAGATAAAAATGAGGTAACTACGTAAAAAAAAAATGGCCAGGAGAAGGAAAGGATAAGCAAAACTGAAGAGTCTTTAATTCATTTGTAAGTAGATTATAGTGGTCAGGCACAGAGTTTGGAGTTGGGCGTGCGGGATCTGGTCTGTGGCTGTCATTGATCACTGGCTGTGTCTTGGGTCGGCTACAATAATCTGATAGGCATAGGATAGAATGTGACTTGTCCAAAGTCACAGAAGGAGTTGATGCAGAGCAGTTAAGGCTTTCTTCTCATATTTTTCTTCCCTGTAAAATGATTATACTGTTGACTGTTGTTGCATTGCTTCTTATAAGAAGCCATTAAGGGAGCAATAAGAAGGGTCCAGCCTTTTTTGAGTTCTATCAGATTAAGTGTAATAGTTCTTTTCCTCAAATATTGTATCTTCTGTGGTTGGGAATGCTACATGCTATGCTGAATCTTAAAAACTTGGGAGTAGCTGGGCACCAGTGACTCACACCTGTAATTCTAACTGCTAAGGAGACTGAGATTTGAAGATCAAGGTTTGAAGTCAGCTAGAACAGACAAATCTGTGAAAGTCTTATCTCCAACTAATCAGCAAAAAGCCAGAAGTAGAGGTATAGTTTAAGTGGTAGATTGTCAGCCTTGAGTGAAAAAGCTCAGCAAGATCTAGAATTCAAGCTCTTATATCAGCATACAAAAAAATCCCACAACAGGGGCTGGGAAGTTGGCTCAGTGGTAGAGCACTTGCCTTGCATGCCTGAGGCCCTGGGTTCGATTCCTCAGCACCACATAAGCAAAAAAAAGCCGGAAGTGGCGCTGTGGCTCAAGTGGTAGAGCGCTAGCCTTGATCTGAACAGCTGAGGGACAGCGCTCAGGCCCAGAGTTCAGGCCCCACGACCGGACCCCCCCCCCCCAAAAAAAAATCCCACGACAACAAAATAAACAGAACTTGGGAGTTAGCTTTGGATGTAGTGGCGTGCACCCATATAGTCCCTCCCGCATTTGAGAGTCTGAGGCAGGAGAGTCATGAGTTTAAGGCCAGCTTGGGTTACATGGTGAGACCTATTAAAAACAAAAAACAAAAAAGAGATGGAAGGGAATTAAAGTCTGGTACTGCATATACATTATGAATGCTTAGTAAGAATGGTGTTAAGTACAAACTAAGTAAGGAAATTGTATGCCTAGACTAGTTTGTTTAGGCACTTTATCCTTTTTCCAGCAAACTGACTTTTGTTTTAGAGCACCATAAACTGAAGAGTACAAAGGGGTAGACAGGAGTGGAAGCCCAGAGGCCTGTGTGCGAGTGGCACTGTAGGTGATTGATGGATGCCCAGATAGGGTGGCGGCGGGAGTGGTGGTGAGAATATTAAAAGACTGTTTTTAAGACTTAAGAGTTGATAAAAATAATTAATTTTTACTACTTTATCAAAGATAATTCTTAAGGGAAAGTGACTTTTTTTTTACAGTGAACATGTGGTCAAGCAGAATATAGTAGTAGTAATATTATAGTGCCACTTCCTTGGTTAATCACAAGAAATCAATGACTTCACCTTTATATGAATTGCTTTATATGATCCATGCAAGTATGGGCATGGTGAACTTAAACTCCATTTGACCATGTACTGTTTCCAGTAACCAGGCTTCCTCCTCTCCCCCTTTGAATGTAGATCCTAATTATCTCATGGCTAACGAACGCATGAACCTGATGAACATGGCCAAGCTGAGTATCAAAGGCTTGATTGAATCAGCTCTGAACCTGGGAAGGACTCTGGACTCTGACTATGCACCCCTCCAGCAATTTTTCGTGGTGATGGAGCACTGTCTAAAACATGGTTTAAAAGGTAGGATATGGCCTCAAAAACTACAAATGTGCATGCAGCAGGATCCTAGCAACTGATAGTCAAAAGAGAAAGCACTCCTTGTAGAGCCAAAGAATAAGAATCTTGAGTTAGTAATGTTAATCCATAGGAATGCAACCTATATGTTAAAGGTTGCATGTGGTTGGCTTAAAGGACTTTCAAGGCTTTAATAAATACAGATCATTACATGTATTGGGGAGGGCTATTACAGTTAAATCTAGTATGACAGTTCCACCTAATTGACAGGATAGTTATGCCTAGAATGGGACATGACTTGCCCGGGGTCACATAAGTGAATCTGGAAAGAGCAGGCACAGTGTTTCATGACTTGCTTCAGAGTTCTTTTCACTTAACCATTAGCTTTTGAGGCAAGACCTGGTCTTTCAAAGCTTTGCTTGTTCCTTCCTCTCTTCCAATAGTCAGGTTGGAAAACAGTCTGGGTTTGTTTTTTTTTTTTTCACTGATACATCATGGGATTTTTTTCTGTTGTTTTTGTTTTGTTTGTGTATGTATATGCTGGTGCTGGGGCTTGAACTCAGGACCTAGGCACTATCCCTGAGCTGGTTTTGCTCAAGGCTAGAGCTCTACTACTTGAACCACAATGTCAGATTTTTCTGAGTAGTTTATTAGAGATAAAGAGTCTCGGATTTTTCTTTTTTTTTTTTTTTCTTTTTTTTTGGGTCCGGTCTTGGGGCTTGAACTCTGGGCCTGGGCGCTGTCCCTCAGCTCTTCAGCTCAAGGCTAGTGCTCTACCACTTGAGCCACAGCACCACTTCCAGCTTTTTCCTTTTTGCTTATGTGGTGCTGAGGAATCACACCCAGGGCCTCATGCATGCAAGGCAAGCACTCTACCACTGAGCCACCTTCCCAGCCCAAGAGTCTCGGATTTTTCTGCCTAGGCTGGCTTTGAACCATGATCCTCAGAACTCAGCCTCCAGAGTAGCCAAAATTACAGCCATGAGCCACCAGTACCCAGTCCTCATGGTTTTAAGTACTAAATTGTTAAAATGTTTTATTATATTACAGGACTAATTTTTCCTAGAAGAGGGAAGGATTGAGTCTTGGAAGGAAATTTATATTTTCGTATCTGTTCTGAAAGCATGAATAATTTTAAAACTATCTAAAGACCTAGGATTAGATCCTGAAAAGAATATTGACTAGATGGCAGGTGTGTGTGTGTGTGTGTGTGTGTGTGTGTGAGAGAGAGAGAGAGAGAGAGAGAGAGAGTGAGTGTGTTAAGGGAGCATTTATAGTATAAAGAATATTGAAATACTACTTTGTTTCTGTTTTTCTTGCCTTTAGCAAAGAAAACTTTCCTTGGACAAAATAAATCCTTCTGGGGACCTCTCGAACTTGTGGAAAAACTTGTTCCAGAAGCTGGAGAAATAACCGCAAGTGTTAAAGATCTTCCAGGACTTAAGTAGGTCTCAAGTTGAATTCTTCCTCTCAAGAAAAATATTCTTATTAATTTTTTGAAATAATAAGATACTAAAGATAATACCATAAAAATTTTATAACAATCCAAATCTACATTGTTGTTTTGAGTAATGTTATAAGAGAATTGTTATAATTTTCAAAATGTATGCCCTTCATGGATAATTATTAATCTAAGTGAGGTTGTCTTAATGTTAAAATACCAAACATTTCCTTTTTATTTAAAATACTTGTGAGAATCATTTAGTAGTAAGTCTCAAGAAATTTGATCTAAAGCGGTATCATGCCTAACTTGACTTTAGGAGAAAAATGGGGTTGAGAGCCACAATTAAAACAGCTGCCAAGTCCTGTAATCCTAGCTACTCAGGAGGCTGAAATCTGAGGATCACAGTTAGAAGCCAGCCCAGACAGGAAAATCCATGAGATTCTTCCATCCCAGGCAGGAAAATCCATGAGATTCTTATCTCTAATTAACCACCAGAAAACCAGAAAGTGGAGCTGTGGCTCAGAGTGGTAGAGCACTAGCTTTGAGCAAAAAGAGCTCTGGAACATAGCCCGGGCCCTGAGTTCAAGCTCTGCAAACAATATAAGTAAATAAATAAACAAACAAAGGCCATATTCTCAGACATGAGGAAGAAAAACAACAGCTGCCAAGTGCATTTTCAGAAGTAATATCTACAACCTGTCTTTACTTAATAAAAGTGTGGTGATCACCCTCCCACATAAAACTAGTTTAACTTTAACCAGAGGCCTAAATTGTCTGTGTATATATTCATGTTTAAGTACTTTTTATTCATACCAACTGATGATTTTTTTTTTATTTATTTTTTGGGGGGGCGTCCGGTCGTGGGGCCTGAACTCTGGGCCTGGGCGCTGTCCCTCAGCTCTTCAGCTCAAGGCTAGCGCTCTACCACTTGAGCCAAAAGCGCCACTTCCGGCTTTTTTCTTTTTGCTTATGTGGTGCTGAGGAATCAAACCCTGCGCCTCAGGCATGCAAGGCAAGCGCTCTACCTCTGAGCCACCTTCCCGGCCCTGATGATTTATTTATTAGTACTAAATTAATGAAACATTTCCAATTGGACCTCACAGGGGTCTTATCTTCCATTCGTCATCATATTTACTAATAAATTCCTTGCAAAAGCATTTTCTAACTCCCTCTGGGTCTTGTTATCCCACACAGAATTCCTTGCAGGAGGGTAAGGTGGCAGGGGTAGCAAGGAGCACATTAGTATGCTCCTTAACCTGGGAAACCATTAGCAAGAGCAGGTGACTCTGTTCCCCTTGTATTCTTAATGGTTTAGTTTCTGTGTTCTTGTAGGACCCCAGTAGGCAGAGGAAGAGCCTGGCTTCGATTGGCATTAATGCAAAAGAAACTTTCAGAATATATGAAAGCTTTGATCAATAAGAAGGAACTTCTCAGGTATGAAGAGTTTCATGAACTTTCTTCTTTCTTTGGTGTGTTCTCTACCGTAGATGAAAATTAAACCATACAAAGTTACTATTCCTTTTATTTTTTTGGGTCCAGTCGTGGGGCCTGAACTCTGGGCCTGGGCGCTGTCCCTCAGGTCTTCAGCTCAAGGCTAGCGCTTTACCACTTGAGCCACAGCACCACTTGTAGCTTTTTTCTTTTTGCTTATGTGGTGCTGAGGAATCGAACCCAGGGCCTCATGCATGCAAGGCAAGCGCTCTACCACTGAGCCACCTTCCCAGCCCTAAAGTTACTATTTCTATGTCAAAATCAGGTGACTCCCAACCTTTTCAATACTTTCTACTTAACTCACAAACATATCCCAAGTGGATGTGACTGTGGTATATGTAGCCCTGTGCAGGAAGGGCCCAAATTTTAATACCTCCAGAAAACAGGGGCGACTTTTGATATCTTAGCATATGTCCAGGCTCAGTAAGACAAGAAGTTGATATGTAGCACACAAAAATATTTCCAGGTGCATTCCAAATCTAAAGCCTGCCTGGTCTTTGTAGTGACACCCTTTTCTTCTGGTGGGAGCGGGGCGAGGAAGAAAAAAAGAAACTTCTCTACTTCTCTAGACATTCACACAGTGAAACCAAAGGATATTCTTAGGAGAGGATCACAAAGAAGGCTCAGTAGCTATATGCAGAGGAGCTTATAAAATAATATCAAAATGAACTCCAAGAAATGGAAACAAGAGGGTTTTTTTTCATTGTTGCTGTTTTCGCTTTCTGTACCCTAGTCTTGTTTCTAAGTTTAGCGGTTTTTGGTAAGGTGGAGGGACGCACAGAAAGGGTGGGACAGACAGTGAACAAATGCAGTAGTGATGCTCACTGGACACTGTTGAAAATGAACTATACAACTTTCGGGTGAGGGAGGGAAAAACCGGGAGAAAGCAAGGGAAGAGGTGACACTGTTCAGAGAAATATAATCATTTCCTGACTTACTGTAACCCCTTTTATATCACCTTTACAATATCCGTAGTGTGTATAGCGTGTGTGTGTGTGTGTGTGTGTGTGTGTGTGTGTGTGTGTGTGTGTGTGTGTGTGTGTGTGTGTGTAAAAACAAGATATTTATGGGATGGGGGCTGGGAAGGTAGCTCAGTGGTAGAGTGCTTACCTTGCATGCATGAGGCCCTGAGTTCGATTGCTCAGCACCACATAAGCAGAAAAAAGCTGGGGGCTGGGAAGGTGGCTCAGTGGTAGAGCACTTGCCTTGCATGCCTGAGGCCCTGGGTTCGATTCCTCAGCACCACATAAGCAAAAAAAAAATAGCTGGAAGTGGCACTGTGGCTCAAGTGGTAGAGCGCTAGCCTTGAGCTGAAGAGCTGAGGGACAGTGCCCGGGCCCAGAGTTCAGGCCCCACGACGGGCAAAAAAAAAAAAGATATTTATGGGGGTGGATATTAAGGCTGTGCACAGTGCCTCACACTTGCTAGGGAAGTACTCTACCACCTGAGCCACATACCTGCTATTTCTCCGTATTCATATAGACAACATAATGAAACACCAAATCCTGTTTGAAAAGTGAGGAGAGAGAAGGAATAGGAATATAATGGAGAGGATGGATTTATTCAGAGTACAGTGTATATATGCATAGTGATTATAATGATTGATGTATGTTAACTCAAAAATAATGCTTAACAATTATTAGCCCAAATTAATAGTGTAAAAGTAACATTTTGATTTTCTTTGTGTGTGTGTGTGTGTGTGTGTGTGTGCGCGTGCATGTGCGTGCGCGCGCCTGCGTACTGGCCCTAGGGCTTAAAATCAGGGCCTCCCTGAGTTTTTTTTCTCGATCACAGCTCCACTTCCAGGTTTTTAGTGGTTAACTGAGGTAAGAGTCTCATGGACTTTACCACCCAGGCTGGCTTTGAACCATGATGTTCAGATCTTAGCCTCCTAAGTTGTTAGGATTACAAGCATGAGTCACCCTCACTTGGCTGTGATATTCTTTTGAGAACTTTTGTTGTTTTACTCATTTGTTAACTGGATTGTTTGTTCTTTCTGTGTTTACTTTTTGTAGCTCTCTATATATTCTGAGTGTTAATCCTTTATTCGTGAATAGCTGTCAATTATTTTCTCCTATTTTATATTAATTATGGTAATTATATTTCCTTTGTTATGTAGAAGCTTTTTAATTTGACATAATACCATTTATCAATTTTTGTTATTGCCTGAGCAAATGTAGTCCTATTCAGAAAGGTACTGTATCTTCAGAAGTTTTCTCTATATCTTCCTTTAAGACTTTTCAAGTATCAGATCTTACATTTAGTTCTTTGATCTTTTATTTTTCTTTTTTTTCTTCTTTCTTTCTTTCTTTCTTTTTTTTTTTTTGTTGCTTGTGGGACCTGATCTCTGGGTCTGGGCGCTGCCCCTCAGTTCTTTAGCTCAAGGCTAGCATTCTACTACTTGAGCCACAGCATTACTTCTGGCTTTTTCTGCTTATGTGGTGCTGAGGAGTCGAACCCAAGGCCTCATGCATGCAAGGCAAGCACTCTAACCCTGAGCCACCTTCCAAGCCCCCTGTCATCTATTTTGAATCGACATTTTTGTTGTTTTTTTGTGGGTTATGAGACTTGAACTCAGGTCTGGTTGCTCAGTGCTAGCATTCTACCACTTTGAGCCACGGTGGCATTTCCAGTTTTCTAGTGGTTAATTGGAGATAAGAATCTCACAGACTTTCCTGCCAGGGCTGGCTTCAAATAGGGATCCGTAGATCACAGCATCCTGAGTAGCTTGGATTACAGGTATGAGCCACCAGCACCCAACTTTGAATTGAATTTTGCACTGAGTGGGATACAGGATTTTAGTTTCAGTCTTGTACATAGAATGTCCAGTTTCCCATCACCCTTTGTTGAAAAAACTCTTTTTTTTCTAAAATGTTTGTGGTGCCCTTGTTGAGATAAAGTGGCTGTATTTGTGGATTTTTTTTTCTGTATATGTGGACTTATCTTTGGTTCTTCTATTCTAGTCCATTGTTCTATATGTCTGTTTTTTGTGTCGCTACTGTGCTGTTTTTGCTACTATGATTGTGTAGTATAATTTTGTCAGGTATTATATCTCCAATATAGCTCTTTTTGCTTAAGATTGTTTCAGATTTTGTTTTATGCTTTTATATGTATTTTATGGAGGATTTTTTTGTTGTTGGAAAGGACATTGGAATCTTTATGGGAATTGAATCTGTAGATTGATTTTGGTTTTGCACAATATTTTGCCAATCTATAAACATAGAAGATCTTTCCTTCATCTCATGGCTTCTTCAATTCCAGAAGAAAAGTTTTTTATGGCGGTTTTAGACTCATAGCACTATTGAGCACAAAGTACAGAGATTTCTTAACACAACCACTGACCCTACATATACTTAGCCTCCTTTATTATCAACTTCCCACATCAGAATGAAACATTTGTTGTAACTGATGAACCTGTATTGACACATCATAGTTCACTTTAGCTTTCACTTTTGGGATTATACATCCTGTATATAGGTTTTAGATAAAATGTGTAACAGTATGCATCAGTGTCATTATAGTATCACAAATAATCCTTGTACTGCTCTAAAATTCCTCTAGGGTCTCCCTGCCTTACGTAACTCCTGGCCACACTGTTCCTCCTACTATGTCTGTGATTTTGTCTTTTTCAGAATGGCATATAGTTCTAATTATATAATGTATGACCTCTTCAACTGCATTTAAAGTTCCATCACATCTTTTTTTTTTTTTTGGGTCCGGTCGTGGGGCCTGAACTCTGGGCTTGGGCGCTGTCCCTCAGCTCTTCAGCTCAAGGCTAGCGCTCTACCACTTGAGCCACAGCGCCACTTCCGGCTTTTTCCTTTTTGCTTATGTGGTGCTGAGGAATCGAACCCAGGGCCTCATGCGTGCAAGGCAAGCACTCAACCACTGAGCCACCTTCCCAGCCCCCACCACATCTTTTCTTGGTTTGATAGTTCATTTTTTAGTGTTTGATAATATTCCTAGAACTATATGTAGCACAGATTATTTATTCACTATTGAATGGTATCTTAGTTGATTCCATGTTTTGGGAATTATGAACAAATATGCTATAATAAAAATCAGCTGTGACCCTAGCACGCAGGGGGCTGAGATTGGAGAATTATGGTTCAAAGCCAGCCCAGGCAGGAAAGCCCATGAGATTCTTATTTCCCATTAACCTCCCCCCCCCCACACACACACCCATAAGTAGAGATGTGTAGAGTGCTAACCTTGAGCAAAAAAGCTCAAAGCCTAGACAACACCCCGGCTTTGAGTTCAAGCCCCAGGAATGGTATCATAAAGAAAAAAAAAAATGCAACTTTTTTTTTTTTGTTGTCGGTTGTGGGGCTTGAACTCTGGGCCTGGGCGCTGTCCCTCAGCTCTTCAGCTCAAGGCGAGCGCTCTACCACTTGAGCTACAGCGCCACTTCCGGTTTTCTGGTGGTTTATTGGAGATAGGAGTCTCACGGCAGATCTCAGCCTCCTGAGTAGCTAGGATTACAGGCGTGAGCCACCAGCGCCCGGCTAAAAAAAAATGCAACTTTTGAGTAGACATTAAGTTTTTAGTACTTATGGATAAGTACCAATAAGCATGATTGTTAGATCATACTTAATTGGGTTTCACTGAAATTTTGGCATGTGTATTGGCCACCATAAGCAGCATTTGTCCAGCAGCTAATCATCTGTGGGGCATCAAAAATTTTTATCTGTTGAGAATTTTGAAGTATATTACTTCTTGGCTTTTTATTTCTTTTTGTTGTTGTTGTTGCTGTTCGCTTATTTCAAACCAGTAATAGTAATTTATTATCATTATGAAACATTATGTACTATATACAATTATATGTGCTATATTTTTGCATAACTGGTGGCACAGTGGTTTGTTTATACCAGCCTCACAGTACACCTGCAAGTAAAGTATTAAACTATGACTGACAGCTACTGGCTTTTTTATTTCTATTTTTAGGCTATCATCACATGCCCTATGGGATTCTGTGGGATTGGTTGTAGTAAAAGACCAAAACAACTGATCCCAGAAGAATCTCAGGGCTGAAGAAAATTAATTTTTGGCTAAACAAATATATAATGCATCCCTGTAGGGGCAAGGGATGTAGCCCTTTGATGTGCTTGCTTAATAGATATATGGACATGGGCTCCTTCTCCAGCACAACATACATACAAACATACATACCTATGTATTGTATGTACATAAATGGAAACAAAGCTGGGCATGATGGCACACCTCTGTAATCCCATCACTCAGGGGACTGAGCCAGGAAGATGTTGTATTGTAGGCCAACCTGCGCAGTCCAGGGAGAAGCTGTCTCCAAAAAAAGTATAGTTATTTAATAAAAGTTTATTTATTGAAATAGACACTAATAAAAACTTATTGAAATAGATACTGTTGAACCAAAGACAAATCTCAAGTTAAACAAAATGGTACAGTCTCTTTAGTATCCCTCAAGGAAACATGTATGGCCCTCTAAATAGTCTGAAAGGTCATGTACTTTTTTTTATACGAAGTTCTTAACAAATCAACAGCAGATAAAATTGTATGGTTCCTTTTTTTTTTTTTTTTTGGTCCGGTCGTGAGGCCTGAACTCTGGGCCGGGGCGCTGTCCCTCAGCTCTTCAGCTCAAGGTTAGCACTCTACCACTTGAGCCACAGCGCCACTTCCAGCTTTTTTCTTATGTGGTGCTGAGGAATCGAACCCAGGGCCTCAGGCATGCAAGGCAAGCACTCTACCACTGAGCCACCTTCCCAGCCCCAAAATTGTATGGTTTCTTATGTGTATCTTTTGCTTGCTTCAATGTTTTGTTTTGTTTTTTTCTGCAGTGAAAACCGATTTTACTTAATAATGAAAGAAAATGTTCACTTAGAAAAGTTTTAAGTTGGGCTAGGAAGGGGGCTCAGTGGTAGAGTGCTTGCCTCACATGCATGAGGCCCTGGGTTTGATTCCTCAGTACACATAAGCAGAAAAGGCCGAAGTGGCACTGTGACTCAAGTGGTAGAGCGCTAGCCTTGAGCTAAAGAGCTGAGGGACAGGACCCAGGCCAGAGTTCAGGCCCCACAAAAAGAAAAAAGAAAAGTTTTAAATCATTTTCAAACTATTGTGCCTGTTGCTTATTAGACAGCTTTTATTTTTTTTTTATTCTTTATTTTTTTTTAATTTTATTTTATTTTATTTGAGAACATAGTGTACAGAGGGGTTACAATTACATGGGCAGGATAATGCATACATTTCTTACCAAGCATTGCAGCCTCCTCCTTTGTTTACCCTTCACCTCCCTTCCCAGCCTCCCTCCTCCCCCCCCCCAATCATTCCCCCCCTCCCCCCCCCCCCACCGACATTGTAAAGCTGGTTTTGACATGACATTTTGTACTTCTCATTGTTGCAACAGGTCCACCTGAATCCTTAAACGACTTGTTTGTCCCCGTCTCCTCCACATGTTATACTGACATCAAATATAGTGAAAGCGGGGGTTACACTGTGGGGGAGGGACTTACAAAGCAACAAAGAAATAATCTTATAAATGCAATTAGACAGCTTTTAATAATTAGTCAAAAATAAGTATGGGTATGGCCCAATGGTAGAATGTTTGCCTAGTATTCATAAGGACCTGAGTTCAATATCTAACACTACCCAAATATATATATATATATATATATTTAAATATAATATGTGTAGATGTAATTCAACAGTTTATATGTTTTAAGATGTTTATTCATTTCATTGAACGAATTTTTTGCTAAAATAGAATATAAAGACATTTTAACAAACAAGCCAAACAAAATTTTACATACCTAAAAGATAACAAATTTATCCCACAGTACATGTAAAGGTCACAAAGTCTGATTGCTTACTTCAAGCACACTGTTATTCTGAGTACACCTTTTTTTTTTTTTTTTTTGTCTGTCCTGGGGCTTGAAATCTGGCCCTGAGTGCTGTCCCTGAGCTCTTCAGCTCAAGGCAAGCACTCTACCACTTGAGCCACAGTGCCACTTCCCGTTTTCTGGTGGTTTATTGGAGATAAGAGTCTCACAGACTTCCCTGCCCAGGCTGGCTTTGAACTGTGATCCTCAAATTTCAGCCTCCTGAGTAGCTAGGATTACAGGCGTAAACCACCAGCATCCAGCTTGAGTATATCTTTTTAAGCCAGAGCATCTCATGATCTAGTATATTCTTGTGCCTGTTACCTAATTTTTTTCTTTTTTAATTCCATTATCATGTATGACCATGTGAAACCATGAGGTGGCATTTTTCTCACCTTACTTCATGATTGTATCACCAGATTTTGAAGTTGTATTGAAGAGTTTTCTGTGAATTTCATTACAGTGAATTCTATGAGCCCAATGCTCTCATGATGGAGGAGGAAGGAGCCATAATTGCTGGTTTGTTGGTGGGTTTGAATGTCATCGACGCCAATTTCTGTATGAAAGGAGAAGATCTGGACTCTCAGGTATAGGAAACATATTCATTTAGCCACTCTGAGGATTTGATTTGATTAGGTTTTGTTAGCCAAGTTAGAGGAGATTCTGTGAGTCATAAATCCATTTACTTTCATTTCAGTATGGATATAAAAAAATTAGATTTTGTTTTGCTGAATTTTCAAAATCTCAACTTGGCTGTCACCTCTGTGACTAAAAAGTTAGCAGTTAGTTGTGAAAGCTCAGAAGCCAACTCTTAGTTTCAAATTCTTTATTTTCTACCTAGATACTGTCATTACTCAGTGTTTGTATGTGTGTGCTTTTAGATGACTTGATTTAACATATAGATTTTTTTTAAAAAGCATTTAGGATTATTATGGGTAATTAAGGAGTAGTAAATGTAATTCACTTAAAACTGAAACTTATATATGTAGTAATTGTTCAATATGTAAAGAGCCTGCTTTCATTATGACTATTTCTTGTCCCTTGTATATGAAATACCATGATGATTTTGTTACATAGCTTAGTATGATTTGGGGTTTTTTTAAAGTACATCACAAAATGATAGTCTTGGGAAAATAAACATATATACATCAAAAGACTAGACACAAATGCTAGCAGAGGTCATCTTGGGATGGTTGAGACTATGCATAAAGTTACTCCTAAAGGTAAATATAAATTCAGTAGCAGAATGCCTGAAGTAAGTAAAAGAAACCTTAAAGCTTATTTATCTTAAGCCATTTATCTCCTAGCCCTCTTAACTTAATCTTGATTCTTATTAACTTGTCAAATTTTGACTATTCACAGTAAAACATTAAATTTTTATCATAAATTCTTGGTAATTGTATTTTCATATTATTATTATAAGTGCTTTGGGAAAAGTCTATAGTCTTATATTAAATTCTGAAAATTCTCTGTAGGTTGGAGTTATAGATTTTTCCATGTATCTGAAGGATGGGAACAGCAGTAAAGGTAGTGAAGGGTATGTAAAAAAAAAGTTTTTTTCTCTGATATTATTTCCTTTCCTTTTAGTAGTGTTTAAAGTTTATGTCAATATTGATTTAACAGACTTGCCAAAAGAAGTCTTTATGTGGGCTGGGAAGGTGGCTCAGTGGTAGAGCACTTGCCTTGCATGCATGAGGCCCTGGGTTCGATTCCTCAGCACCACATAAGCAAAAAGAATGCCAGAAGTGGCGCTGTGGCTCAAGTGGTAGAGCGCTAGCCTTGAGCTGAAGAGCTGAGGGACAGCGCCCAAACCCAGAGTTCAGGCCCACCACCGGACCCAAAAAAAAAAAAAGAAGTCTTTATGTTGTCATTGATAAAACCTTGCCAAAAATTCTTCTTACTACTAAATGCTAAATGATTTTTAGTTGAATGATTTCCTAGTTACCTGGTTCAGGGCAAAAGTTTTTAAGGAAATTCAGTTCTCAAACTGGGCATGTTCTCATAATACTACACAACATTCAAGAGACTGAAGCAGGAAGATCAAAATTCTAGGGCCAGCTTGGACTAGAAGAAAAGAACACAACTCCTCATCTCTTAGTTTTTTAAAACATAGATAGGCTGAGTAAGGTGAGATATATTGCCATACTAGCACTTGTGAGGCTGAGATAGAAGGTTCTCAAATTTGAGGTATCTTGTCATGACCAAACCCTGCCTTCAAAAAAAAAAAAAGATATTCATTATGGTGCTTGGTGATTATGGATCAGAAATGCATCTTATAATCTTTACATATTTAACAATTGAAAGCATTATTACTCTTAATAGGGTCTTCCTTCCCTTCCTTCCTTCCTTCCTTCCTTCCTTCCTTCCTTCCTTCCTTCCTTCCTTCCTTCCTTTTTCTTTTTTTTGAGACTCAGGGTCTTTCTATATGTCCCAAGCTGACCTGAAACTGATGGGCCTCCTGTCTCAGCCTCCTGAGTGCTGAGAATAACAGATGTGTCCAGTGAGTCTGATGTTCTTATCCCTAAACATTGAACTGATTATATCACTTGTTCTTCTGGAAGTTGTATAGGCATGTAGAAGTAATTTAGACTTGCAGCTAAAGAATTAGTTTAGCTTGTATATATTATAGATTAGTTGGTCCTACAAGCAAACCTCTTTTTTTCACACATCATTTTCTCATACATTTGATCTTTTTGAATGCTTTTAATACCATTCACTTTCAATGTAAACAGCACTTAAAGGTAAACCTATAGCCTTTGTGAATATCTGTTACACCACTGTGAATTTAATTTGATTCCTATGACAAATGTAAATTGTTGCTATAAATACAGCTGCAAAATGTGTTCATATGACAAGAAAATTTTAATCTTTAAGTGTGTGTAAATAGAAAACATTTACCTATATCCTAAGTTATTATTAAGGTCCATAAGCTGTAACAGAACTTTGTTTTTTGGTTTCTTGAGACAGAATAGCTTAGCAAGGCTGGCCTAAAAACCTTGACCTCCTACCTCAGCCTCTCAAGTACTAGGATTGAATATATGTACTGTGGTTGGCCTTAAAATGGCTTTATTATTTCTTTTCTTTTTTTTTTTTTTTGGGGGGGGGGGGTCAGTCATGGGACTTGAACTCTGGGCCTGAACGCTGTCCCACAGTTTTTAGCTCAAGTTTAGTGCTCTATCACTTGAGCCACTGCAGCACTTCTGGTTTTCTGAGTGGTTTATTGGAGATAAGAGTCTCATGGACTTTTCCTGCCCGAGCTGGCTTTGAACCACTATCCTCAAATCTCAGCCTCCTGAGTAGCTAGGATTACAGGCATAAGACACCAGCGCCTGGCTACTTTTCTATTAGTGTGTGTGCGTGCGTGCGTGCGTGCGTGCGTGCATGTGTGTGTGTGTGTGTATGTGTGTTAGGGGTTTTAAACTCCCAGGGCCTCATTCTGGCTTGCTCTCATTCTGGCTTGCTAAACAAATTGTCTACCACATGAAAACCAGCCCTCTTTTGCTTTAGCTTTGTTTTGGGGTTTGTTATTTAGACTCTTTGCCCAAGACAGCCTTGTCCTATTATTATACTAATGCTTCCTGCCAAGTTGGGATTGCTATAGTAAACCACAATACTCAGCTTGTTTTGCTGAGATGGAGTCTCTTTAACTTTTTGCTTGGGTTGGCCTTGAACTGTGATTCACCTAATCTCTCCCTCTCAAGTAGCTTGGTTTCAAGCACAAGCCACTGCATTTGGCTATTTTAGGGGTGGGACAGTCTTGGAGTTTAAACTGAGGCCCTGGGTACTGTCCCTGAGTTTTTTTGCTCAAGGATAGTGCTCTACCCCTTGAGCCACATCTCCACTTCTGGGTTTTTGGTGGTTAATTGGAGACAAGAGTGTCATAGACTTTCCTGCCTGGGCTGGCTTCAAACCACAATACTGATATCTCATTACAGGCCATTAGTACTTGGTTTCTATTCTATTTTTAAGCTTTTGAGTCTCTTGTTGATTTGTCCAAGTAGTGATACATCAAATCTATTTTCTGGCGCAGTATATTAATATCCCAGTTTTCTTGTCATGTTTTATAAAAAGTTAGGACAAAAGAAATCTTAATGTATCTTTTGTCATTTATTACATTTCTGTTTTCTTTCTCCTCTAGGGATGGTCAGATTACTGCAATTCTGGACCAGAAGAACTACGTAGAAGAACTCAACAGACATTTGAAGTAAAGAATGAATAAGTATTCTTTTACTGGAGATTCATTGTAGAAGAGGGGAAATGTAAAACAGTGATCAACAAAGAAAAATTCAGCTAATGTTTGGCAAATATGTGTATAAATCCTGCTTGCCAATCATAGAATTAAACACTAGATGAATAAGACTTCCCTATTTTGGTGACCTTTAGTGAAAGGCAGTACAAGAGTATTATGAAATTATAGTTCTTGTAGTTAAATAAATACATTCAATCAAGAATTTAAAAACAAATGACCTATAGAAGTTAAACCCCTACACTGCAGGACTGGTCTTGGGTAACTCACTCATTCATCAGTGTAGTTATTCTAGATTCGTCATATCACTTGCTACCTTACATTTCTCTCTTAACACATTGAATTGATAGTATTAATTCACCCCCTCTTCATCATCACTTTTATTTATCAAGTGCTGAGTGTTTTTAGTATACTCTAAAACATGAAGTTTCCTCTGTATTAAAGAGAGCAATTCAAATGCTAATGATAGCTAGGTATGTAGCTCAAGTGGCAAAGCACCTTCCTAGCAAGCATGAAGCTCTGACTTCAATCTCCAGTACTGAAGCCCTTTATGTCCTTGTTATTCTAAAGAGTATTCAGAAGAATTATTAATATATCCACTAATGGTTATCTTGTTTATAGGTTGTAGAATTTTCATGTTCCATTATAAATGCCATTTTTAATAAGACTTACAATGTGATTACATGAGAATTAATACAAATTTTGATTAATCTTAGTTCTAGCTAACAAACACAAGAACCGTTTGAGTTAGTTTTCTCTGAGAACCACGAACTAATAATGATAATGAAAACTCAGCCAAGCAAAGACACACCTACAATTGACAATGAAACATAAATCAGACACTACTATTTACTTTTTGCATGTTTTTGTACTAGGGATACCTAACACATTAGGTGTTGAAATGAGCAAATGAAACATACAAGTAAAATAATTTTTAAGAGTTATTGGCACACTTAGTCTATGTAGCCTCTTATTGTCATATATAGGTAAACCTTAAAATTTACAGTGTAGTATATTAGCTTTTATTCTATTGAACAAATAGTGAATATAATTTTTTTCTTTTTTCTTTTTTTTGGTCAGTTGTGGGGCTTGATCTCTGAGCCTGGGCACTGTCCCTGAGCTCTTCAGCTCTACCACTTGAGCCACAGTGCCACTAACAGTTTTCTGGTGGTTAATTGGAGATAAGAGTCTCACGGACTTTCTTGCCCAGGCTGGCTTTGAACCTTGATCCTCAGATCTCAGACTCCTAAGTAGCTAGGATTATAGGCGTGAGCCACCAGTGCCTGGCTGTGAATATAATTTCTAGTACTGAAGACTTACTCATTAAGTTAAGGCTAGCACATCCCTTTGTACACTACCTTAGTGCCTACAAGTTCACCCAGAATTATAGACATTAGAAAATGAATGGTAAGCACGATATATGTATTTAAAAAGGAAAATATGGTATTGTTCTTTAAAAGAGATCATATTGGGGATTTTCTTCTCTTTGTAGTGCTACTGTAAACAACCTTCAGACAAAAGTAGACACATTAGAAAAAGCAAACACTAAACTGACTGAAGAGGTAAGTATATGGGAAATTCTTACTATAAAATTGAAGAATGTGCAATAGTAGAACCTGTGAAACACTGGAAATGGTTTGATTGTTCAGATAATGTGTACTTCAGTATATAATTCCTTGTCCTAATAGACCAGTTGGCTTATCCTAGATTCTCATTTTCTTAGTTGGACTACATAGGCATATTAACCTGGCTAATCAAGTATCTTTTATGTGAAAATTTTGTCTGGGCAAGTCAGCAGTAAGTACTGAGCAGATAGCATGACACTCATTGTTTATTCCTTCAACAAACATTTTAAGCATCATTTATGTACTATGTGTTCTAGACTGGCAAGCTCTAGGCCCTCTGTTATTTTTTCCTTGCAAAATGTAAGCAGTGTTGGTCAGAAGACTGCTGACCTCTGCTTACATGCCATGTGATTTAACGCGTGCTCCTGACTAAGTCAGTCACCTGACCTATAAGATGCGGCGTTTCCTCACTGGCACATGAGGGTGCTGATACTTCCCCATTCAGTCTCATAATTATTCTGAACATCTGATATGAATGTAAATGTGAAAACCTTTAGAAAAGTCTCTGAAACAAGAAGAGAAAAAAAATAACCTCAAGACTTCATGCTGTCTCGCTTGGCTTCTTCCGTCAAAGCTGGCACCATACCTCTACTTCCAGCCTCATGGAGTTTTTTGGGTTTTTGTTTTTGTTGTTCTTGTTGTTGTTGCCTGTGGGGCTTGAACTCTAGGCCTGGGCACTGTCCCTGCACTCTTCAGCTCAAGGCCTGCACTCTACCACTTGAGCCACAGTGCCACTTCCCAGTGGCACTGAGGAATTGAACCCAAGGCCTCATGCATGTGAGGCACGCACTCTACTGCTGAGCCACCTTCCTAGCCCCTTTCATGTTTTATCTGATTAGTAAAAGCAATTTTTCCTCAAAGAAGGTTAAGTTAGCTGGGCACTGGTGGCTCACACTAGTCCTAGCTCCTCAAGAAGTTGAGATCTGAGGATCCCAAGTCAAAGCCAGCCAGGGCAGGAAGGTAAGTGAGACTCTAATCTCCAGTTAACCACGAGAAAACTGGAAGTGAGCTGTGGCTCAAAGTGATAGAGTACTAACCTTGAGCAAAAGAGCTGAGGAATAGCTTCCAGGCCCTAAGTTCAATCCCTTAGACCAAAAAAAGGTTATGCTGTCAGCAGATTAGATTGTTTAGAATCTTAAGTAAAATTATCCAGGTTTCAAAGACTGTACTTTCTCTGTTTCTAATTATAATGGTCCCATTAGGTACAGTCAGATTTTTTTTTTTAAGGGAAAGGGAGGGGGCTCAGTCCTGGGGTTTGAACTCAGGGCCTGAGTGCTGTTCCTGAGCTTCTTTTGCTCAAGACTAGCTCTTTATCACTTGAGCCACAGCTTCACTTGCAACTTTTTTGGTAGTTAATTGGAGATAAGAATCTTACAGACTTTACTGCCTGGGCTGGCTTTGACCCACCATCCTCAGATCTTAGCCCCCTGAGTAGCTAGGATTACAGGTATGAGCCACTGGTGCCCAGTTGAGGAATCATATTCAGAATGTCTTATGGAGGATTCACAATGGTATGAAGTAGCTTCTTTATTAAATATTTTAGAAATAGCTATTCTTACTCAACAATAATCTGTTAACATCTAGCCATAGAAAAGAAATTTCATGGGGCTGGGAAGGTGGCTCAGTGGTAGAGCGCTTGCCTTGCATGCCTGAGGCCCTGGGTTCGATTCCTCAGCACCACATAAGCAAAAAGAAAAAAGCCGGAAGTGGCACTGTGGCTCAAGTGGTAGAGCACTAGCCTTGAGCAGAAGAGTTGAGGAACAGCGCCCAGGCCTCAGAGTTCAGGCCCCACGACTGGACTCCCCTCCTCCCCCCCACAAAAAAAAGAAGAAAAGAAAAGCAATTTCACAATAAATCACTAATAGAGCCAGGCATGGTGACAGAAGGCTGAGGCAGAAGGAATGAGCATGAAAGTGATGGCTAACAAACCGAAAGCTATCTCCTACTCAGTTAATAAAAGAATAAAGTGTCATTTAAAATTGATATCAACAAAACTTTTATCAACAGCTTGCTGTTGCAAACAACAGAATCATTACCCTACAAGAAGAAATGGAACGTGTTAAAGAAGAAAGCTCATACATACTAGAATCCAATCGCAAGGTGAGTCTTCACTGGGTTCATAACATAGTCACAGAGAGCATGTGAGCAATAGGAAGGAATCTCTAGAGCGGCCACAGGTGTTTGCACACATCACTCACACTGTCTCTTCCTAGCCTCCATATGTAACTGGGGTTTGGGGAAGCTATGTTCCCTCACCTTCAACATGTTCCACTTCACTGGCACTTACATGTTTAGACCTAAGTAAAGACTAGTTTCTTATTTTTATGTACTAATGATTTTTATTGCATCCATCCAGCAGTAATACAGAGAATTATTTTCACATTATGCTACTGTGTTTTAGAAGTGGTACCACTACACCCAGCCACTATGCTTGCCCATAGGGTCTCTGCCTTCCAAATAGCCAGGATACAGGCTTGAGTGATAGACTGGACTTGAGTTTTGTTTTGTTTTTTATTGTCCTAATTCATTCTTATGTCTGCTTAGTTATCACCATTTTTCTTTACTAAATAGCAATACTAGTATCTGCTACTAATTTTATATCAGTTATTTAAATGCATCATTTATTTAAATTATTTAAATATGCACTATTTTACTTGTTTTCAAGGGTCCTAAACCAGACAGAACTACAGAAGGACAAGCACTAAGTGAAGCAAGAAAGCACTTAAAGGAGGAGACACAATTACGGCTGGTAAACTCTGCTTAAGTTCTAATAGCTCAGAAAAACATGGAAAGGTACTAGCCAACTCAGAGGTGGAAAGGTACTAGGCCTGCTTAGAGATGTCACCTGACAGGCAGTGATTGGAAACATCATAGCATTTTACTGCTATTTTTATAAAGTTTATAAAAATTTTCCTGGCTCTTTTCAACCAACATTCCCTGTAATGCTTTCTCAATCCATTTTCTGAATGTCCACAACAGCAGTAAGATTTTCCAGGCTTCTTTTTTTGGTTTTAAAACTATACAATCCCCACTACTGCCACAGTCCTCATGTCTGCAGTAATTCTGATATGTCCCTTGGGAGGAGGCAGCTGCTCCTCCCATACTAAGAATCATAAATATAAAATTATATGCTTATTTTTAGCTTTTACTTCTAAGTTTATTCTTTTTTTCTAAATATATATTTTTTATTGTAAAGAAACTGTACAGAGGGGTTACAGGGTTGCAAGGTAATGAGTATATTTCCTATCCAGCATTGTTACCCCCTCCTTTGTTTTTCCCCTACCATCCCTTTCCTCCCCACCTCCTAACTCCTCCCTCCCCCTCCCTCTAAATTTATTCTTGATCTTAGTTGTAAATAAGAAAGTTTATCATCCAGTATTACTCTTATGTGTTTTTTTATAAATTAAAATATACATATAAATATATATATATGTTTATAAGACAGTATGATTTATAAAAGGGTCACTCATAGTACCACTAAGAATAAGGAAAATCATGATGAAAGTCCCCTCCATTATACATCAGTATAAGTACACCAATTAAAAAATGAATGGGGAAAAGTTTGATAATCTGGGGTGTTTTAATTTTACTAAAAAGTTATTGCAGGGGCTGGGAAGGTGGCTCAGTGGTAGAGCGCTTGCCTTGCATGAATAAGGCCCTGGGTTCGATTCCCCAGCACCACATAAGCAAAAAGAAAAAAAGTCGGAAGTGGCGCTGTGGCTCAAGTGGTAGACTGCTAACCTTGAGCTGAAGAGCTGAGGGACAGCGCCCAGGCCCAGAGTTCAAGCCCCATGACTGGACCTCAAAAAAAAAAAAAAAAAAAAAAGTTATTGCAGATTAACAATATATAACAGAAGTTCAGGTTTCCTGAAAACACAAGTTGGTTATCTTAATATCTTTAAAAGAATTACTATTTACTATCTTGTGTTTGTAAATCAGATCCTAAAGTATGTTTTTAGAGGTTTCCTAGTAAAAAAGAAACATGTTAGGGCTGGGAAGGTGGCTCAGTGTTAGAGCACTTGCCTTGCATGCCTGAGGCCCTGGGTTCGACTCCTCAGCACCACATAAGCAAAAAAGAAAAAAGGCAGAAATGGCGCTGTGGCTCAAGTGGTAGATCACTAGCCTTGAGCTGAAGAGCTGAGGGACCGCGCCCAGGCCCAGAGTTCAGGCCTCACGACAGGACCCAAAAAAAAACCATGTTAGTATTATGAGAAGTAGTATGGTAATTTTTCGCCATAATCATATGAAAAGGGTCTCAGCTAAATGGCACATAACACAAATTTAAATTTTTTTATATTTCTATCCCACTAAGATAAATATTAAGAAGGCAAGAAACTAAGAAACTAGGCAAGTTCCAACGTATACACTCAGTACAACATGAACACAGAAGAAACTCAGTCTTTTTTGTTTGTTTGTTTGTTTGGCATGGGGCTTGAACTCTGGGCCTGGTTTCTATCCCTCAGCTCTTCAGCTCAAGGCAAGCGCTCTACCATTTAAGCCACAGCGCCACTTCCGGTTTTCTAGTGGTTTATTGGAGCTAAGTGTCTCACAGACTTTCCTTGCCCAGGCTGGCTTTGAAACGTGATCCTCAGATCTCAGCCTCCTGAGTAGCTAGGATTACAGGCGTAAGCCACTGGAGCCCTGCTGAAACTCAGTCTTTTGTTGTCTTTTTTTTAATCTAACTAATGTTGTAGTATTAATGGTTGAACAAAAAGAGTTTGATCTTAAGTGTACCTAAAAGTTCAGTTAGCCATGTTGACCAGGAGATGTTACCTTAGGAACCCAGAGTGTCTTATGAATCCCTGGGCTCTTGAATGTATCAACACCATTCAGTTTTGGTACAGTTTTCAGTTTTATTCAGTCCTGAATGTTTTACCAGTTTTTAGATATTCTGGTAATGAGACTTACTAGTTATCTTAATATCTGTTAAAGGGCTGGGAAGGTGGCTCAGTGGTAGAGCACTTGCCTTGCATGCATGAGGCCCTGGGTTCGATTCCTCAGCACCACATAAGCAAAAAAGAAAAAAGCCAGAAGTGCTCCTGTGGCTCAAGCGGTAGAGCGCTAGCCTTGAGCTGAAGAGCTGAGGGACAGCGCCCAGGCCCAGAGTTCAGGCCCCACAACCGGACCCCCAAAAAAAAAAAAAATATCTGTTAAAGTGTGTAATTACGTTCCTTGGCCTGGCAAGTTTTTCAGGTTTGCATACATTTGGTCAAATGTTAAAATTCCTACCCTATATATTATTCTTGTTGTCATTGTCTCTGGAAATGGATGATGGTTTATGACTTATATGCCAGTATATTCAGACCAGAGGGTTTTGGTCAACCTTTTCCTATGAAATGTTATGATTTGTACCTAGTTAATGAAAGAGTGTAAGCAGTGTTATTTATCTTTGGGGACAGGATGTTGAAAAAGAACTGGAAATCCAGATCAGCATGAGACAGGAGATGGAACTTGCTATGAAGATGCTGGAGAAAGATGTCTGTGAGAAGCAAGATGCCCTGGTGTCTCTGAGGCAGCAACTTGATGATCTCAGGGCTCTCAAGCATGAACTAGCCTTTAAGCTACAGGTAGAGGAAATATGAATAGATACATGGTCATTCTGAAATCTTAGGGCTTCCCTCCAGCCCTTCTTGTTTTATAAATATAAGAGTCACATGTTATTTTGAGGCCAGATGCCAATAAACTACCTTTTAAGAATCTATTAAGGGGGCTGGGAAAGTGGCTCAGTGGCAGAGCGCTTGCCTTGCATGCCTGAGGCCCTGGGTTCGATTCCCCAGCACCACATAAGCAAAAAGAAAAAAACCGGAAGTGGAGCTATGGCTCAAGTGGTAGAGCACTAGCCTTGAGCTGAAGAGCTGAGGGACAGCGCCCAGGCCCCGAGTTCAGGCCCCAGGACCGGACCCAAAAAAATAAAAAGAATCTATTAAGTCGGGTGCTAGTGGCTCACATCCATAATCCTAGCTACTCAGGAGGCTGAGATCTGAGGATCAAGGTTCAAAGGCAGCCTGGGCAAAAATGTCCACAAGACTCTCATCTCCAATTAAATACCAAAAAATTCCAAAGTAGAGCTATGGCTGAAGTGGTAGAGAGTACTAGCCTTGAGCAAGAAAGCTGAGGAACAGCATCCAGGCTCTGAGGTCAAGCCCCAGGACCTACAAAAAAAATCAAGACCATTTTTCATACAAAAGATCTTTTATTCTATGGCATTGTGTCTATTCTCTAGCCTAACAAATAGCTGTTGTTATTATAAGGATGTATATAACAATATTAGTTTTTAACTAATTTTTTCCATTGTGAATTTCCACTAATCATTAAGTTAAAAGCATATGTTTTATATATCTTTTCCATACAGAGTTCAGACTTAGGAGTAAAACAGAAAAGTGAACTAAACAGTCGTTTGGAAGAGAAGACTAATCAGATGGCTGCTACCATTAAACAACTGGAACAAAGGTAAAAGTGCTGTTTCTTTTAATTAACAGTTAGGAATGAGAAGGTGCTAGATATTCAGCAAATCAAAAAAAATGAAACTCTTCTAGCCTAAATCAGATGTGCTGATAGAAAGAAAACGAAATTCTATCCTATTATTCTAAGATGTTGTTAAAACATTGTCAGCCTGTATTGGCTTATCTTGGCTATTCTGAACATTAGAAATGAAAGCTTAATTAATTTCGCTCTTGTGTATAACAAGTTGGCTTGCAAGGCTGAAAGAAGTTTGAAATGTGTGTACGTAATCATGTTTTATTGTTCATAACTAAAGCCTTTGAATACTACCACACTACATGATGTAGGGATTCTAAAAGGTATCCTCCAAGGATCTATTCTGGTTCTTTCTCTCCCTTCTTTAGCCCTTTTCTGTCATGTCTCCTATGTCTCTTTTCTCTCTTCTTTTTCCTGAATAGTTGTCTCACTTCCACTGACACCTAGTGTGTGCCTCCACTCTGGCTTCTCTGACTAGCTCTCTCCCACCAGTACTTATGAATTGTGCCCACAACACATCTTCTCTCTAATTCCCTATTTCTTTATCTCTAATATGTTTCTGGGAACTCAGCAGCCAACAGAAATGGCTGAGACTTTAAGATTGAATGCAATGTGACATATTAAGAGCATTCAGTGTTTCCACCTTTATTTTTTATTTTATTTTTATTTTTTGGGTCCGGTCGTGGGGCCTGAACTCTGGGCCTGGGCGCTGTCCCTCAGTTCTTCAGCTCAAGGCTAGCGCTCTACCACTTGAGCCACAGCGCCACTTCAGGCTTTTTTTCTTTTTGCTTATGTGGTGCTGAGGAATCGAACCCAGGGCCTCAGGCATGCAAGGCAAGTGCTCTACCACTGAGCCACCTTCCCAGCCCTGTTTCCACTTTTAATACCAACTTATCACCTCTCTTGAAGTGGAGCAGACTGTACAGAGCTGGAGCAGTCTTTGGACATGCTTTCCGTTTTCCTATCCATCACCCTTCTCTGATAGTTGCACCAATTAGAAATGTCCTTCCCCTTCTCACTTCCTTTTTCTTCAGAAACATTTTTTTTTTTTTTTTTTTTTTTTGGTCGGTCGTGGGGCTTGAACTCTGGGCCTGGGCGCTGTCCCTCAGCTCTTCAGCTCAAGGCGAGCGCTCTACCACTTGAGCTACAGCGCCACTTCCAGTTTTCTGGTGGTTTATTGGATATAGGAGTCTCACGGTCTCTCCTGCCCCGGCTGGCTTTGAACCGAGATCCTCAGATCTCAGCCTCCTAAGTAGCTAGGATTACAGGCGTGAGCCACCAGCACCCAGCTTCAGAAACATTTTTATACATAGGCTGAAATGCCAGCCTTCCTCCAAAAGCTCTTTCTGATACCTCTTCCTGTCTAGAAATAGAGCCCTGCCACTGGATTTGTCACATACTACCTCAAATGTAGAAGGTAGAAATTCTGTATATTTGTGAATGAATGGGTGAATGGGCAACTTTCTTTATTTTGATGTTTCTCAACCTAAACAGGGAAGGTTCTAACAGCTGCTAGCTGTATTTATAAAAGAACGTTAAACCTCTGGTATGAATGACAAATATAAAGATATTTATGTAGGAAAATTACCTAAGTAATTTCTTGCTCATAAGCAATTAGAAGTTTATGATTTAACAAATCATTTTGGGAGGAAGAAAATATTAATGGTTTTAAGGCTCAGCACTATGACATATGATTTGGGTGTCTGTAAGTTATGCTTTTGAAATGTATTAAATTATTTCTCAGTGACTTTTGACTTGGCATTTAAAGCCAAGATTTGAAATAATGACTTATCTGAGTATTAAGCTAACTTATTCTCTTGCTGTTTTTTTGTTTCCCATTTATCCATTTTCTCATCCCTTTTCCACTTCATTATCATTTTTATTTTATTTAGTGAAAAAGATTTGGTGAAACAGGCAAAAACCTTAAATAGTGCGGCAAATAAACTGATCCCCAAACAACATTAGGCATTTTACAGTTGGTCACCTCACAAGTCTGCAGTCACAAATTAATTGGAAAAAGAAGAAATCCAAAAGTTATTTAACCTATATAAACTCTCACCAAAAATTGACTTTGAATTTGTTGGACTTTAAAACAAACCAATTGGATATTGGTTGGGTTTTGTATTATTATTTTCTCCCAGAATTAGAAAATTTGGTATAAGCTCTGATTAAACACTAAAAAAGAAAACTTTAAGAAAATATTTCTAAATTGACTGGCAAATAAAAACACCACTGAAAAAAACCTAGGGAATCAAAGCTGTGTATATATATTAATGATGCCTTTACAACCTAGTCATTACTAATACCAGATTCTAGGTGTGTTGTTCATGTCTGCATTAGCAAGCCTGTTCTGCCATTGCAGTGAGTGTCATGATCTAGAGGTGACTACCATGTGAAACCTGGACTCTTCTAAAGTAGTTGTGTATCTCTTAGGCTGGTACCCCTTTTCACTTTCGTTATATAGTTTTAATCTCCAAGCCAAGGATAAGTACATAGTCTTTCAGTACAGTTCTACGTAACCAAGATTGCTTATAGTGTTTGGTTGGTTTTTGTTTGGGGTTTTTTTGTTTTGTTTTGTTTTGCCTTATGACTTTGGATGAAAAGGAAAGTAGCATCCTTATATTTCTTTAAAGTACATAGAGATAAAGTTAGTAATTAGGTAACTTAGAATATCATAATGTGGAAGCTTGAGAAAACCCTCCTAATATTTATCATCTCTACCTCTGCCACTTTTCTGCAATTCTACTTCCTACTTAGATAGCTCAGAAAGAATAATTTTAATTTAAAAAAAATACTCCTCTCCTAGTTAAAATAAATGCACTATACATTTTTCAGATCTATTCTGCTTTTCCTACTGGAGTAAAAAGGACAAAGTTCAGACATGAGTAATGATTTCCTGCCTGTCATTCCTTATCAACAAACATTTACTTAAAAGTTTCTGCTACTTTTTGTTTGGATGGGGATTTGTTAAAGGTTCTTGGAAACTAATGATTGGTCATTAGGAAATCATTTCAAAATAAGAAATATATAAACAATAAATTGACACTCTGTGTTATTATTTAGTAAAACTAAAATTCCTAGTAGATGTCCACAAGCAATATTAGTAGGGCCTCATTTTCTAAGTGACCACAGATCTAACCCTTTCTAGGCTTTACATTGTAAATAATCGTATAAATACTTCAATTTTTTTTAATGACCCTATGATTTGGGGAGACAGGTTTTTTATACAAGCCTTTACTCCTTCAAAAGGTCTTGACCAGATATTTGAGGGGTTTTTTGCTTTTTTTTTTTTTTTCATTTAATATAATTTGCAGCATTTCAGCTGCGAAGGTGGGGCACCAAATCCCTTTGCTTCCAGCTCTTGAAATTCTCTACCATCTTCTTGACAAAACCAGAATAAGAAAGTGAGATCAATTTTATGTGTGTTTTGGGTCCTTGCACTGACATAGTCAAAGAGCATTTGTTAGAAACAACTTCATGGAAGATCCCGTGCTCTTGAACTTATTTTAGATCTTATAATTTTGCACCTGTATAAATAAATAAAGCTTTTATTGCATTCTTATCTTCATTAACCTTTTGTGGTGATAAGTGGCCTTTTCTATGAGCATTTGGAAGGAATAATCATTAAAACTTTAAAGACAACACATAGCATGCTTCTAAGTTACATTATATAAAGCCCTAAATGTTTCACTTTCAAAAACATTAATTATAGGTGCCAAGTTAGCAAGATGTTTAGAAGAAAACATCTATTAGAACCTTCCAAAGATATGGTCAGGAGTCTTATGAGCCCCAGTTCTTTGTCTGCTTGGTCACACCACTTGGTAGGAATGGACAGGGACAAGACAGCCCTCTGATAAAAGCTTTTCCCTATGTAATAACCTTAGGCCTGGGTACAGGTTGATATATTATGTACTATGAGTTAATAACATGTGATTTAGGAAATGGACCAGAAAAATACTATAATTCTTCATATAAGAAGGTAGTTACCCTTTTGCAAGCTCCAATTGTGTGTGAAAAACAGAAATATAAAGTACCAAACATATTAGGAAATAACATACGAAAAAAGTAGGTTAAATTTAATTACTACGTACTTGAGGTTGGCTCTGGATATGGATTTTCTAATAAGAAGTGATGTTTATTGTTTATCATCTAATGGCTGTAAACTGTAGTACTAGAATAAAAAAAAGTGAAAAATCAGCTTTTCCTCTGCCTGCTTCACCTTCATCTTACTTTTCTCTAGAATTTACTTCTTTGCCATCTTTTTTTTTTCTTCCCATAATTTCTTCCCCCATGTCTTACAAAGTTTTTTGTTTTTTTTTTCCCCCTTCATCCCTTCTTCTTTGGGTTATTTTGTGTTGTGAACATGGTCTTCCTCCCCACTGTGGCTTTTGTTTTTTATCACAAGTTCATATGGCTCACACCCAGATTGCGCCAGGCTGAGCGAGGCCGACAGTCTGCTGAGTTGGACAACCGGCTCTTCAAACAGGACTTTGGAGACAAGATCAACAGCCTACAGCTGGAAGTGGAGGAGCTCACGAGGCAGCGGTGAACAGAGGGCAACTTGAGCTGACTGGGTGGTCATGGGTAATGCTAATGCTAGACAGAGGGACCTCAGTTCCTAACAACCATCTCAACTCTGTCTTTTCAATGTCGCCTCCCTGGACCTGGAATCAGAAAGCTTCCCTTCTATCAACATTCCCAAGATCCTGATTAAAGAATTAATAATCAGCCCAGCCATGGTAGTGGTTCATGCCTATCACGCCTGTAATTAATACTAGCTACTCAGGAGAAAGACATCGGGAAGATGTTAGATCAATGCCAACATGGGCAAAAAATTTGCTAGACTATCTACAAAAATAACCAGTAAAATGCAAGGATGTAGTCATGGCTCAAGTAGTAAGAGTGCTAGCCAAGCCTGCAAGCCAAGCAAGTTCAAAGCCCTGAGTTCAAACTCCAGTACTGCCAAAAAAAAAATAAATTGTGAGAATTAGGAATTCGATGCTATGCAAGGTGGCAAACACATATATATAATCCCAGCATTTAAAGAGGCTGAGACAGGAAAATCTTGAGTTCAAAGCTAGCCTAGGGTACGTAGTAAGACCTTGACAAAAAAAAGAAGAAGAAAGGGAATTAGATCCCAAAGTTCCAGATAGTTACTAATACAGAACTCTTCACATACTGTCACTTCTAATGTCTTTGCATTAACCCTTTGAATAGGTGATACTTTCAGATAGAATGAAAGCTTAGAAATGCTGACTATATCCCAGCTCTCACAATTAAGCTGCAACATTATTACTTAAAAATCACTTTGACTCCAGCCTGTAAATACTTTTCCATATCTCTCTCTCAAATGTCACTCATTTCTGTTCTGAAGCCATTGCCTTTACATAGAATTATGCTGGATATAAAGCACATGGGTACTAAGAACTAGTGGTTGAGAGTGTGAATGGAAATTCACTACATAACTATAAAGAAAGACTAGCTTATGAAATAGAACCCCATATTTGTTACTGTATCTAGCTGAAAACATGTAAAGATGATCAAGTTTGGCAAATACTAGTTGTCACTCAGATTATTATAACTATTCATAATGTTGAACCTCTGGCACTGGCTGATCCTAAATTTTATTCTTAATTCAAGAAAATTTAAGCATGTTTTATGTTTCTCGGCATTATTGGTTTTATTGTATTTTAGTACTATACAGTTTAGTACTTCATATGCTCTGGTAACTTTTTATTCATCAAGTATTTAAACTTAATTGCTGGACTTTAAGGAAAGGATTTAGGGAAGTGCCGCTGTGACTCAAGTGGTAGAGTGCTAGCCTTGAGCTGAAGAGCATAAGGACAGCGCCCAGGCCCAGAGTTCAAGCCCCACAACTAACAACAACAAGAACAACAACAAAAAAGGATTTAGCTATTTTCAGAAAATAATGTACACAGAAATAAAACTTCATTCTTTCCCTCTCCAATTTATCCCAGGAACCAGCTTGAGTTAGAACTAAAACAAGAAAAGGAAAGAAGGTTACAAATCAACAAGAGCATCCCAGGAAAAGGATCACAGAAGCCAGAATACAAGACGGTAATGTTTATTTTTCTCTTACTCATTTACTTTATTGAAACTTTTAGAGGCTACTTTAATGGACCTGTCAGTTTTCATTCATATTTCTGCAGCCTTGAGAATACAGACAGCAAACTTGAAACATGGCTAGTATTTTTTAATAATACCATATAATTATCCCAACCCTGAATTTCACTTTAAAAGAATTTTTTCAAATGTGGATTTGCTTCTTTATACCTTTTCTCTAAAACTAACACAAAAATAAATACTAAAGGAGCTTCTTGTTTTGGTTCCTGGGCTGCAACTGGGTCTGAGCGCTATCCCTTAGCTTTATCACTCAAGGTTAGCACTCAACCACCTAAAGTATAGCTCCACTTCTAGCTTTTTTGGTGGTTAGAGATAAGAATATCACTGGCTTTTCAAACTGCGATTCTCAGACCTCAGCTGCCTGAGAAGCAAGAATTACAGGCAGGAGTCAGTAACTCCAGCTTATGTAGAATGGTTCAGAGCAGAAATTGAAATATCTATACCATAGCCTTGAAAAGAGAGAACTCTAGCACATGTGGTGGTGAAAAAGCTAAACCTTATTAGGAAGGGAAAATGAACAATAATAACCCAATCTCTTCTAATAATGAAGTCTGTCAAATATAAACACAGAAATTGCTTCTTTTATATAATTACACATAACAAAGTAGGACTACTTATAAGCTCCTAATTTAAATCCCAGAGTATAGTGCTAATTAGATGAGTATAAAGGGAATCCTAAATATAGATTTGTTGTATAGTTCCCATTACCATTTAAAATGTCCAAAAATCTATTCATTTCGGGAATATGAGGTCTAATTAAAATCTTGACCTCTCTTTATTTTTCCAGAAAAAATTTTTAAGTTTTTCAATACTAAATTGTTCTGTAATCAGGCATTTAGGAGGTTATTTATTAGCCTCTCTTTCTTGATACATGAGTGGTCTAAGAACAAACAGTCTTTTGAACGTAGATGGACAGAAGTTCAATTAGGCAAGTTTGTTTGTATGCACCACTGTAAGACTTCAGTCCTAAAAGCTGCCCAGGTAGGGATTAACAGCAATGGTAGAAGTGCACTGGAACTTCATGTTGGATCTTCAGAGAAGAGCATTTCCTGAATTGCTTAGGTTATATATGTCGCCAGGACATTGGGGCATCTATTTGATTGAATGCCTAGGGAATCACAAAGTCAGTTGGATGTCATGCTTCATTTTACCAGCCTTTCAGAGTTCAGTCAGGAAATATGTATATTTCTGCTCAGAACTGTTATCCTGAACTTACTTTATGAGTAAATAGGCTATATTCTGAATTTTTTTTGAATTTCACAAACAGAATATCAACTCTAAAATAACATTGCAAACTCTATCAGAATAGTTAAGAAATTATTTGGAGCAGAGGATGGGAAGACGTGTGAAAGTTAGATCTGCTCCCTAATGAAAAAGCTCCTCAGCTTTCTACTAAGTTGTTCTGCAAGAAAATACCTGCAGTATCTTCATAGTGTAATATCCTGAGTAATTAATAAATTGGGTCGTTTTCTTTTGGCAGGATGGAAAGCACAAAATTCAAGAGGAAAATGTTAAGTGCCTGGAAGAAGGCCACAGGTGCTTCTTAATGAACTGTTAATTATTCTATGAAGTCTTTTAGGGACAGAGTTTGGAAACGGAGCTTTTTTAAAAAAGAAATTATTGTAAAGGTGATGTACAGAGGGGTTATAGTTACACAAGTCAGGTAGTGAGTACATTTCTTTTTGAATATTATTACCCCCTCCCTCATTTTCTCCCACTTTTTCCCCTTCCAACCAACTCTCTCCCCTCAATTTGTATAGTTCATTTCCAACATAGTGTCTAGTGAAGAGGGAGCTTTTGATATACAGACCAGACTCTGATTGATAACATAGAGACTTGGGGGGGGAGGGGGGGCAGTTGTGAGGCTTAAACTCAGTGCCTGGTGCTAACCCTGAGCTCTTTTGCTCGAGGCTAACACTACCACTTTGAGCTACAGTTCCACTTCCAGTTTTTGAGTGGTTAATTGGAGATAAGAGTTTCATGGGAACTTTTTTGCTTGGGCTGGCTTTGAACCATGATCCTCAGCCTCCTGTGTAGCTAGGATTACAGATGCAAGCCACCAGCACCTAGCTCCAGAGAGACATTTTGAAGGGAAAGTAAATAAATAGTGGGGGATAGAGTAAGTAAATAGTGGTGTGGGGAAACTACTGTACATGCTACTGTGTGGTGGAAAAACATAAATATACATTCAGGACATCAATATGTGATGAGTTGTAACAAATGCACTACTCTGCCGTGCACCTGTGGCTCACGCCTGTAATCCTAGCTACTGAGGAGGCTAAGATCTGAGGATCACGGTTCAAAGCCAGCCTGGGCAGGAAAGTCCTTGAGACTCTTATCTCCAACTAACCACCAGAAAACCAGAAGTGACGCTGTGGCTCAAGCGGTAGAGCACTAGCCTTGAGCTGAAGAGCTCAGGGTGAGCACCCAGGCCCAGAGTTGAAGCCCCATAACCGACCAAAAATCAAAACAAATGTACCACTTTGGTGCAGCATGTTGGTAAAAGCAGGCGGGAGGGGGCTGCAGGGATATATGGGAAATCTATACTTTGTATTCACTTTTGCTGTGAACTTAAAACTGCTCTAAAATTAAGTATTTTAGAGGGGGAGAATAGTGATGAGAAGAGATGCCAGAAGAGTTTTGAGAAAACTGTACAGTGTCATCCACTTTGGACATGTGTCTCTGTCCAGGCTTGACACCTTCAATATGTAATATGTCACATTTGCTCTATCCAGAGCAAAGTTAGTTATTGATGAAGTAAACTACACAGTCCAACATTAGGCTGATTATGTGGGTCCTTATTCTATATACCTTCTTGATTCCAAGGTCAGAATGTGTTCAACGTTTTTTAATTTTGCTTTCAAAAACATAGCTATACATGCTATACGTGCCCAGAAGTAATATGAGTTTGAGACCAGCCTGGGCTATGTAACAAAACCATGTATCAAGGGCTGGGAAGGTGGCTCAGTGGTAGAGCGCTTGCCTTGCATGCCTGAGGCCCTGGGTTCGATTCCTCAGCACCACATAAGCAAAAAGAAAAAAGCCGGAAATGGCCCTGTGGCTCAAGTGGTAGAGCACTAGCCTTGAGCTGAAGAGCTGAGGGACAGTGCCCAGGCCCAGAGTTCAGGCCCCACGACCAGACCCCCTCCCACCCCCCCAAAAAAAAAACCATGTATCAAGAAAAAAAATAAGACTTAATGCAGGACCAAACTTAAACATCTAACTGTAGGTCACATAGGAAGGGAGTTAGAAATGCTCTATTAAACCATTCAGGTGCCTTTCATGATCAGCTTAGTTCCAGAATAAAATGAGTCATTTACTGGAACAGTCTGACTGTCTATATTCAATGTCAAGTTCTGGGAATAAGTGACAATATTTCTTGTTCTATCTGTAATTGTGCTCTGCAGTTTAGAACATTTAACATTCACTCCTTATAAATTTAATTCTTCTTACAAAAGTAAAAGCAATGTGGTGGCTCACACCTGGTAGAAAAAGCTATTAAAATATAAGGAAAAAAGCCACTGTAGTTTTACATGTTCGGAAACAAATACTGCTGCCTTGGTAGTAAAAAAGAAGCATAAAATTTAATTTCAAGTGTATTTAAATGGGAACCATAATGTAGACCAAGGATCAGATTTTAGTAAAATTGTAACAGCCAAAATTTCCAAGATCTGTGGGCACCAGTGGCTCATGCCTGTAATCCTAGCTACTCGGGAGGCTGAGATCTGAGGATCATGGTTCAAAGCCAGCTAGGGCAAGAAATCTGTGAGACTCTTATCTCCAATTTAAGGGGGGAGGGGCTCAGAAAAAGCCAGAAGTGGTGGTGGTGTGGCTCAAGTGGTAGAGCACTAGTCTTCAGGACAAACAGGCTCAGGGTGTTGCTTGACAGTTTTTGTCTTCTGGGCACTTACTGACATATGTTACTATTATTTCTCCTTTATAGGCTACACTCACTCCCTACAGATGAACAGCAGGTAACTTGTGTATAAATTAACAAGTTGGTGTCCTGAGCTTAGGCACTATGGGAGACAGCATGGGAGGAGTATGACAAAGACAAGTATAGTATAAGAAAGACAAGCTACTGTGTCTGGTTCATCTCTGTAACTTACCTATTAGAAAATGAAACATGCCTGGTGTTCTTAGCATTCTCAAAGGCAAAGTGAGATGAGAGATGGAGTAGGTTTTAAAATCCGCTCCCTCTTCCCCCACCCCCCACTTGACTCAGCCTCAAGCTTTTTCTGCATGGATTACTTTTGAGATAGCGTCTTGCTTCTTCTTTGCATGTACTCCTGGACTGTAACTCATCCATTTTAGGTTTCTTGTCATAGCTGTGATGACACGTGCACACCACCACACACACATCTTTTCCTGAGTAGCCAGGCCCAGCCTGGCCTGACACCTCCTCCCAATGTCAGCCTCCTTAGTATAGCTAAGATTACAGGCATGAGCCACCAGATTCTGGCAAACATTTTCCTTTTTACTTCTGTATGCTTAGATTTTCCTTTTAGAAATAAAACCATATTAATTTTATTCTTCTAGCTTTTATTTATTTTATTTTTTGGGGGGGGGGTCCAGTTGTGGGGCCTGAACTCTAGGCCTGGGCGCTGTCCCTCAGCTCTTCAGCTCAAGGCTAGGGCTCTACCACTTGAGCCACAGCACCACTTCCGGCTTTTTTCTTTTTGCTTATGTGGTGCTGAGGAATCGAACCCAGGGCCTCATGCATGCAAGGCAAGTGCTCTACCACTGAGCCACCTTCCCAGCCCCTAGCTTTTAGTTTTTATAAGATTATTACAGTTACAAGTAATAAGGTGCCAGGACTATGTGTAATTTGTTTCTCCATTACAAATAGTAAGTATAATAGTTAATTTTAAAAAAAAATTATCACGGGGCACTGGTGGCTCACACCTGTAATTCCAGCCACTCAGGAGTCTGAGATCTGAGGATCATGGTTGATAGCCAACCTGGACAGGAAAGGCATAGACTTTTTATTTCCAACTAACCACCAGAAAACCCGAAGTGGCGCTGTGGTTCAATGTGGTAGAGTGCTAGCCTTGAGCAAAAAAAAAAACGCTCAGACAGTGCTAGGGCCCTGAATGCAAGCCCCATGACCGACAAAAATAAATAAAAGTATCTTAAAGCGCATAGTCTAAAAGCATTCATGTTTCTGGTACTAAAGGAAATTAAACTGGATCGTTGTGTGGTTTAGGATTTGCTAATGCCCTCTGAAAAGCCACAGATGTGTCAACTGTGCCAAGAAGATGGCAGCCTAACAAAGGTAACTGATGAGAAATGAGCAGATTCTTCATGGGATGTGCACTGCACCAGGCACTGACATAAGAGCATGAAGGACAGAGAGTGGGGCGGAAGGCCAAGGGAACCAAGCATTTACTGTGACTTTGTCAGTCACGGTAATTCACATCAGCAAATCAGCTACACACACACACACACACACACACACACACACACACACTATTGTGTATCATGTGCCATTCCATGTACTGGAGAAGAGTGATAAAGTAGCCAAACACACACACACACACACACACACACACACACACACACACACACACACACACACACACTATTGTGTATCATGTGCCATTCCATGTACTGGAGAAGAGTGATAAAGTAGCCAAACTCCCTTTTTTTTATTGTGAAAATACTGTACAGAGGGGTTACAATTACATGGGCAAGGTAATGAGTACATTTCTTATCAAGCATTGTTGCCTCCTCCTGTTTCCCCTTCCCATCCCTTCCCATTTCCCACCCCCATCCCCTTAACCCCCCAACCCCCACCCCCGCCAAAGTTGTAAAGTTCATTTTTCGACATAACGTCTTGTACATCTCATTGTTGCAATGGGTCCACCTGTATCCCTATTTAAACAATCCATACTCCCTCTCTTGTGAGCCTGTACCACCATTTAATAGATGGCCAGTTTCCAGCTTTCAGCCCTTGTTCCTTCTAGTATTTCATCCTGCTCAGAACAGAGGGACATGAGCCCTTCACGCTACAGGATCTGTTTTCCTCAGTGTCCTCCAGGGTCTCTGCCTGAGTACTTTCCCAGAGTGTTACCATAGAGTAGACAGAGCCAAGAAAGTATTCAGAAAGAAACAGGGCCCTCCATAGCTGGCACTGTCTTATTGATGCTAATACCACCCCCCCCCCCCCCCGGTGCCTGCATGGTGCCCACTTCTTATATTGTATACAAATAAGTAATAAGTGCTTAGACATGTATACAGGTTCTGGATCATAACTTCACATCACTGTTTCTGATCATGCTGAATTTTGACAATCAAAATATGACCTAATCTTTAGATAAGTGAACTGCCTTAATATATTTGAAAGTTAAAATTACATAAATATGTTCTAAAATAGAATAAAATACTAATCTAATTCCTACTTTACTCCTCTAAGTCATGAAGAACAATTTCCAAAACAACTTCACTAGAGGAAGTCTTTGACTTTTCAAAGTAACACTGTTCCCCTATGATTCTCTTAAGACTAAAACAAGAGGATCTCAAGTTTGAGGCCAGCCTGGGTTACATAGTGAGACCCTGTTTAAAAGAAAAACTGTGACACTCCCCTCCCCCCACCATTCACAGGGGAAATAATTCTTCACACCATTGCTGCCTTGCCAGCCACTGACCATGACACACAGTGTGAGTTATAAAGAGGCCAGTCTCCCTGTAAATGTAGAAAAGCAAATGGGATCCTCGGAGTATTTATCATATGCCTCCTATACAATGCTTCTTATATCTTAATGTTTCCCTCTTACCTCTACTTTTTCTTGTAGAATGTGTGTAAGAACTGCAGAGGAACATTCTGTAATGCCTGCTCAACAAATGAATTGCCTCTTCCTTCCAGTATCAAGCCTGAAAGAGTTTGCAACCCCTGTCACACACAGCTGATGAAGCAGTATTCCACCAGCCCATCCTAAGTCTGGAGGCCAAGACCTGGACCAAACCGTTCATGCAGGACTAACTTCTACCTTTGTTAGCTATCAAGACCCTCAAAAGCCCAGTCCTTAGAATCAAATGGAGTTCATAGGAAATAAACCTATTAACTTAAAGGAAGTTGATTTAAGTAAACCAGGTCCAGGGAGAAAAGGCAGGGTAGTTACTTGGTTGAGCCTTTCTTTTCTAAATCAAGCCCAATTTGAAGGGTTCATTTTATGGTCTGTCATGACCAGTGATAATGACATAATAGTAAAGAGTCACAGAAGATAATAAAAAGGGGCTGAAATTGTAGCCCAGTGGTAGAGCACTTGCCTTGCATGCATAAGGCCCCAAGTACAATCTCCAGCATCACACAAAAGAAAAAAAAATCATCTCCCTCTACTCTATTTGCAGCTTTAAAAGGTAGGAAGATAAAAATGACAAATGTTATCTATTTATCCAGGTGCTGCTAGACATAAAGATTGCTTCCTCTTTATTCCCATCAACTACCTCTTTAAAATCTCTCTACCAAACTGTGAACCTACACTCAGGGAAAAAAAATTAAAATAGAGCCTGAATGTATTAAAAACAATATTGTAATATATTGTAATTTCAGGACCAGCATTTTCTGATCTAGGTTTGCAAGTGTTCTCACCATTAAGTATGAATAAACATTTGGTTATTTTGCCATTTAATAACTTGAAAATACTCCCCTCTTCAAAAAAGAGCCATCTCTCTTCCCAGTCCCTCTATATCATAAAAGCAGAAGAGTTTGTCTTTTGCAAATAGATATAGATTAAAGCAGGTTTAATTTGTTGATGGCTAAGAACAGCTCAATATTTATTAAAGTGTTTCTTTAATAAGGAAATTTTTCTTGAAACCAAAGATCAGAACTGGTAGGTAAGTTATTAAGTTCTATATGAGAGGATATTCTGTGGAAAAAGTAGAGAATACACTCAGCAAAGGAAGGAAAAAAGTGACATGCTCTTTTGATTATGTTCTATGTCTAAATTAAAATTCCAATTAAGAGCTGAGAAGATTCTGTGACTGGTTTAGAATTCTGGGGTAGAAACCTCCTGGAACCATGTTATTTGATAAATTCTGTCTCCTACAAAAAGCCTGGGAAACAGTTGTTCTTCCATGAGCCTGGCCTGTTAGTTGGTTAAGTTTTAAGAGTACTTGGGGAAAATAAAAGTAATAATCCAAGTCAGTTTGTTGACTCTATTCCTTTAAGTATACTTGTTCTGAGTTTCATTGCTTTTGGCTCCTACATGAACAAGCACTGTTTGATATATAACGGAGCTGAGAGATGGCAAAATAGGGATTATCCCAAATTGGCAAAAGTTATTAGTTTTAAGTTAAAGTGAAAAGAGCCATCTCTGTAACATGCTATAAAACTACAGTAAGTGAAACATAGTGGAGACCCGAAGGAATATCTTATACTACAGTCAAGTGATTTTGGACACGGTGTCAATACCACTGTGGGGGGAAGGTGCCCTCCTTAACAAATGATGGCAGAAAAATGGGATATCCACATAGATAAAACTGAAGGAACTGGAGGTGTGGCTAAGTTGGTAAAGTGCCTGCCTTGAGAGAAAAATGCCAAGCAAGAGTTTAAAATGCTGAGTTCAAGCTCCAGTATCAGAATGACAACAACATCTTGTACTCGTGAACTGACATGTTGAATAATTACCCCTCTGTACAACTTTTTAAGTATAATTTTAAAAAAGAAAATAGCTAGGTGCTGGTGGTTCACGCCTATAAATCCTAGCTACCTCAGGAGGCTGAGATCTGAGGATCATAGTTTGAAACCAGCACAGGAACTACCAATTAATTACCAAAATTCCAGGAGTAGCATTTTGTTTAGCCTTGAGGGGTAAAAAAAGGGGGAACTAAAGTTCAACATTTATAACAAATACAAATGTGAGACAGACCAAAAACCTAAATGGAAGTACTAGAATCCCGAAACTTTATTTTTTATTTTTTGCCAGTCCTGGGGCTTGAACTCAGGGCCTGGACACTGTCCCTGAGCTGCTTTTGCTCAAGGCTACCAGTCTACCACTTGGGTTACAGCGCCATTTCCAGCTTTTTCTGTGTATGTGGTACTTAGGAATGGAACCCAGGGCCTCATGCATGCGAGGCAAGCACTCTACCACTGAGCCACCTCCCCAGCCGGAGAGTGAAACTCTTAAAGATGAGAAAAAGAGCTGGCAGAATGGGTCAAGTGGTAAAGTGCCTGCCTAGCAAATGGAGGGCCCTGAGTATCCAACTACATACAGTACTGAAAAAGGGGAGAGAGGTTTAAAAGCTTCAAGACATTGGATCTGGTAATGATTTCTTGGACATGTCACCAAAAATATAAACAAGAAAACTGAAAAATATTTTCAGTAAAGAGCTGGGTGCCAGCAGCTCATGCCTATAATCCTAAACCACTCTCAGGAGGCTGAGATGTGAGGATCACGGTTCGAAGCCAGCCTGGGCAGGAAAGTCAGTGAGACTCATCTCCAATTAACCAGAAAAGTAGTAGTGGTGCTGTGGCTCAAAGTGGTAGAGCACTAGCCTTGAGCAAAAGAGCTGAGGGAAAGTGCCCAAGCCCTGAGTTCGAGCCTGACGACAGAAAAACAAGTAAAAACTTGTGCAAATGGTAGTACTTGGGAAGACACATGAAGACAAAGCTTAAGACCAGGCTGGGCTATCTCAAACATAAGAAAAATTTAAAAAACAAAACTTGTTCATCAAAGACATGCTCAACAATGAAAAGGCAACCCAAGAACTTTAAGTTTTAAAACTGCTAAAGAATAGCGTACATATCACAAAGGACACACACTTTAAAAATTCAACGAGAAGGGGCTGGGAAGGTGGCTCGGTGGTAGAGCGCTTGTCTTGCATGCTTGAGGCCCTGGGTTCGATTCCTCAGCACCACATAAGCAAAAAGAAAAAAGCCAGAAGTGGCGCTGTGGCTCAAGTAGAGCGCTAGCCTTGAGCTGAAGAGCTGAGGGACAGCGCCCAGGCCCAGAGTTCAGGCCCCACAACCGGACCCAAAAATAAATTAAAAAAAAAAAAAAATTCAATGAGAAAAGCAAAGTGCTTGACAACTATCACAGAAAAGATAAGCAGAAATTCCACACGCATAAGCTAAACACCAGTGATCTCATTAGAGAAGTGTACATCAAAACCACAATAAAATTCTATTGTATACATTAGAATGTATACAAAATCAATTCATAAAATAGAAACTGGAACCTCAGTATGCTGTTGGTGGGAATGGAAATAGACAGCTTTTTTGCTTTTGAGACAGGGTCTTGCTTTGCAGCTCTGGCTGGTATAGAATTCACACTATAGCCCAGGCTGGTCTCAAATGTATAATTCTGCCTCGCAAGTGCTACAATTTTAAGCCATGATACCCAGCTCACTGGCAACTTCTTAAAAAAAAAAAAACAACAACACAACAAAATACAGACTAACCAGCAAAACAGTGTAAAGCATCAAGGCACCAGTGACTGGCCCCTGGCATCCTTGCTAATGATGGCTGAAGGCTGGGCAAAGTTCAAAGTCAGACCAGCAGAAATGGCTGCAATTCTGTCTCCAATTAACCAGCAAAAAGCTGGGCTAGAAGAAAGGCTCAAATGGTAGAACATCTATCTACCTATAAATACAAGGCCTTGTGTTCAAACTCCATACCACACCTGGTTCACACCTATAATCCTAGCTTCAAGAGGCTGCCTAGGGCAGGAAAGTCCATGACTTATGTCCAATTCACCACCAAAAAGCCAGAAGTGCAGCTGTGGTTCAAATAGTAGAGCACTAGCTCTACTAAAACAACAACAACGAAAAAATACGAAAAAACACTATTGAAAGAAACAGCTCAACAGACGTATCAATTGTGAGGGAAAGCAAAAGCACAAAATATCACATAAGGCTGAAATTACAGACTGACATCAAATGTTACAGGCATATTTGGAACTCTGGGAATGTGAAACAGGGCGACATTTTTGGTAATAAAATTTAAAATATGTCAGCTTACAACTCAGGATGGTCTACTCCTAAGTTCTGAAAGAAATTAAAATGTTAAGTGCGCAAAAAGGATTGCAAGATATTCATAGCAACTTTATTCAGGCCCAGCAACTGTTCGCCTAACAAGAAAAAGGAAAAACTGGCATACTCATACAGTGAATTTTACTCAAGGACTAAAGAAAACAAAGGACATTTGGATGAATCTCAAACATGCTGAATGAAATAATATATATCTTATAATTCCATTAATTCTAGAACAGGCAAAACTAATTAAAGGTCCACAAAATCCTAACAGTGGTTGGTTGTCTGCAAGGGGAGAAGAGAAGGGATAGGAGAGGTGCAGGAATTTTGACTAGACAAAGTTAGCTTTCTGATGTAATAGAACCATGCCATAGCTTCCTTGAGGGGTTAGATTACAGGGCTGTGACATCTAAACTCATCAAAAGATACGTTAACATTTGTGTGTCTTACTCTAAATTTTCCTTTGAGAAAAAAAACTCTAGTCACGACACGTATGCCAGAAACTTTAGAGCCAAGAATATATGCCTACACCTTTCACATAGAAGACAGTATAATGTGTGGACAGGTACATGAGATAATATGGCCAAACATTACTTACAGAACATAAGTGATGAATAAAAGGCTTAGTGATTATTCAAATTTTACACATTTTTTTTATTTAAAAAAAAATGTCTCAGAAAAAAAAAATGTCTCAGGAGAATACCTATTTTAGTACACAATTGCAATGTAAAAGATTTTTAGGTCCTGAGTTAAAGAAAAAGTTTTTAACTTGAGATTTCAGATAATTGGTTACAAGAAATAGTTTTAGGAAACAACATTTTAAAGTACTTTTTTTTTTAAAGATGCACACTGAAATATTTAATAATGAAATAATGCTATTTAAGATTTGCTTTAAAACAGGTAGATATGATGGCATGCACCTATACGCCCAGCTACTTGGGCAGCTGACACACAATCACTTTAGCCCAGGAGTTAGGAGACGGCAAGAAAGTGAAGTTCAACCTCGTCTCTTTTGCTTTGCTTATTTTTCAGACAGGGTCTTCATAGAATAGACCAGACTGGCCTTGAACTTGTGACCTTCCCACCATAGCCTCCCAAGTACTAGGATTACAGACACGGTTCACCATAGGCAATAGACACTGTCTTTTAAAAAAGAAAATAAGGAAGAGTTAAGACAAAGATTAAAGATGAAACAAAGCTCATCATATATTGACAACTGATTAAATGGGAGGTATATTATGCTCTTTTGTTTTTGTGTTTCCATAATAGTTTAAGAAAAAGAAAAATGGAAAGGGATGTTAAGACAGTTCACAGAAAAAGAAGTTCAAATGTTCTTAACTATGAAGAAATAGCGCCTCATAAGATAACTAAATTTGGGAGTAATCTTTTTTAACTTGTCATACTGGCAGAGAACAGACTGCTAATCCACTGTTGGTGAGACTATGGGAAACGGACAATTGCATTGCTAGTGCAAACAATGAAATAACTTTAGATATAAATTTAATTTTAGATATAAATACAAGTGCACGTCACCATTTATCCCACAGAGAAATTCATGTATATACAACATGTTATAAGTTTATACAAGGTAACTCACAGCAAGAATAGAAGCAATTTACATGTTCATCGGGAAGGGACAATTTATATCTCATACATCCACACTATACAATAATTAAGAGATTAAATGAGAATGAGTATTTTATATACTGATACAAAATAATCTTTAGGTTAAGGGAAAAAATAGAATGGAATTGGAAATTCTAATATTTGCTTATAAATACAGTAAAAAATCACTATATTATGACAGAAAATGATGTTGATGCCTGAGAACTGAGTAGCTACAGTGTAGAATGGGAGGAGCATATTCACTGAATATACATCAAACCCTCTGTTCCTTCAAAAAACAAAATATAGGGGTAGGAAGGTGGCTCAGTGGTAGACTGCTTGTCTTGCATGCATGAGGCCCTGGGTTCCATTCTTCAGCACCACGTAAGCAGAAAAGGCCGGAAGTGGCGCTGTGGATCAAGTTGTAGAGTGCTAGCTTTGAGCTGAAGAGCTGAGGGACAGCGCCTAGGCCTAGAGTTCAGGCCCCATGACCATAAAAACTTTTTTTAAACTAAAAATAAATAATTAAAAAGAAATACATATATATATATAAACAGCCACTATTCTCTTTATTGTCATATGCTCAAGGACTAAGACAGACTGAATCCTCCCTTATATATCCCCTTTCTAAAACTTAGTAATTAAGTATATGAAAGGTACTTGAAGGCTCTTTATGGAACTAGAAACACAAGGCCCCTATTTAGACAGCTAAAATCAAAGCACTGATGGAGAGGGAGGAACAGGGACTCTCATTCACTCATTGCTGGTGGGAATGTAAAATAGTACAGCTACTTGGAAGACAGCAGTTTTCTACAAAACTAAAAATACTTTTTCTATATAGCCCAGCAGCCATACTCCCAAAGAAACTGAAAATATGTCCACATAAAAACCTTCATATAAATGTTCATGGAAGCATTTTCCCCTTCTAGAAATTTCAGAGATTATTTTCTAATCTGCTAGACTTAGAGTACAACAGTCTTACTTTGTCAAAGCCCTCAGAACATGGACCTCTAATCATTTTGGTCCTACCAATTTGAAGTGCTTTTATGTAACTTAACGGGAAATTCTTGAAACAACAGAACATTTTAAATTTTAAAATAAACATTATGCAGAAGAAAAGTTAGTCTCCAAATAAAATTTATTAAGGACAGTTTGTTTAGGGCAGAGGATGCTATAAGGACAGGCTGGCTAACAAGCAAGATCACTGCACACTATGTCACCTATGTGGAAGTCAGTTTCTTAAGCTTCCTCCCCACAGTGTTACAATTTTCAAGAAGCACATATACTTAATCTCCCTTCCCACATGGCAAAAGCTTCAGCCACTAATTATGTGACTCTGCTTTATTTTGTACATTGGGTCACAACCTTCAGGAATTTTGTCCTTGGTATTTCTTGTATTCCTTACCAAAATTGTTTTCCCTTGCAGTTCCTCTACTAGGCCATAGCAGAATACGGGTACTCTGACCCCATATCCCAACCCACTACACTTTTTGATAACATTTACAGCAACGACTGTAAAGATATATGGCCTTCAAATTCAAGAAGGAAATTCCTTGTCACTGCATTCTTCAATAGCAAATCACGACAGTTTTCACAAATTTTGGTATGTAGAAATACATCTTTGGATAGAAATAAATATTACTTTAGTCACTTATTCACTAACCTAAACTGTAACAAAAAAACAAGAAGTGAGTAGAATGTATATGAGTTCATGTGATGACTTCCCAATAATGGACCTGTTTTGTACGGAGAACTCCACCTGTACTGAGGCAAGAAGATATATCCCTTCGAGCTTACCTAAAACAAAATGTTTTAATGCTTTGGCTCTTTCTCTTCCCAGAAATATGCAATGACACTCATTAACTGAAAATCAAGTACTTACAAATGAATTCTCCCTAACCCCAGTTCCAACAGAAGCTGAAGCTATCTCCCACAACAAATTAATACTGTGAAAGAAAAATGATCCCACCATAACAGATCATATAACTCTGAATATCAGTTCTCATAACTCAGTACATTCAACCACATATGAAACATTTTCATCTAAGTAGTACAAGTGTTAAGCTGACTAAGTCATATTCTAGTAAGATTTTTTAAAAATAAAACATACGTATCCATTTCTTCTTATATTAATATACGAGGACTAGATGTAATAAAAAATATATTCAGTTGAGTCACATATTCCAATAATAAATACTTTTATGTAATCTTTAGCCTGAAACAAGCCTTCATTTATTCACTACTTACAGTACAGTGATTTCTTATTTTAGCTGGTAATCAAAGATGGTTTTATATTAAGAGAAGACATAATCTCTCTTCCAGATATCACTTCTCTGAAATCTCAGAAAATTCAATTTTTAGGACTAGAATTGCATCTTCTGGTGGCAGCTGTCACCCTGAGAACAGGAACAAGGCAAGGAAAGTATACAGGACTTTGATTCTCCTACACAGGTGCACATGAAGTTAAGTTTATTAATGAATACATTTTGAAGCCAGCCATTATGTCCAATATTTAAATAACAAGCTGTTTAATATTAAAGCAGAAGGCACTGCCACAGTGTGACAGAAATACAGCTTTGTCCATAACCCTTCACACAAGTATACAGTATTATTTTTTAAGCAAGTCACCTCTACTTGTTCTAAAATATGGGATGTACTACCCACTGGAAAAGCAAATGAGGAGATTAGATTTTTTTTCTTATCTAGAGCTGGTTTAAATTCAAGTGAAGCCATTTATGTTCTTATCAGGCTGTACTGCCTTGACATAGCACTTTACACAATTCCTAGTCTAATAAAACACCCTTAAAATTCACCCCAAACCAAAAGGAGGTTACTCAGACAACTTCTGAGACTAGACTTCCTCCTTAAGTAGACAGGCACCAATGTTAAATGCCTTTAGCATAAGGCTTAGAAAGACAAAACTCTAAAAGCATAAACTGCCAAGTTGTTATATATAAGCACTCAATAACCCACGTTTTTTGGTTTTTTATAACATTTTTACCCCTATTTATGCAAATACAGCTAAAAGGAAAACTATTTTGCCAAACCATACTTGTTTAAAGATCTGAAACCTTCTCTTATGTTGGTCTTGGTTATAATAAACCATCATTATACATGAGAAGTTTTATATTGGAGCTCTCAATTCATAGGCAAAAAAAAAAACTTTGAAGAAAAAAAAACAAAAAACTTTGAACAGATTAACTTTTGAAAAAGACCTTCAAGTATAGTGCTGAATATATAGTCTTTACAACTGGTACCAAATACTCAAGAAAAAAAACTTTAATTATGTAAAATAAAGACCATATTTTCTTAATCAGATCCTGGATAGTTTAAATGGAAATTTTGTGGTCTATTTCATAATTTCAAACTATCTTTCTAAACAATCCATCATGAAGTTTTCTTATAAGCAATAAATCCAAAATCTAAAAATCCTTTCTCTAGTAGTTGATACCAGTAAACTGGAACTTAATATCCCATGTCCAAGGACGATGTGCAAACGAAATGCTTCTTGCTTCAATCTGAAAATAAAACAGAAACCGTTCCACATTTACCATTTAAAATTACAAATCCAAAAAATGTTTTTCTAATTTAGTTTAAGTTACTGACAAACAGTTAAACTACAGAAAATTAGTTGGAGATTGGTATATGTAGCTGGTATGAAGAAAGACTCAGAATTGAGCACAGAATATATTTTACATATGGAGTTGAACAAAATAAATATTTAACATCATGGAATTGCAGGAACTGATATCCAAAAGTAGCCTATAACACATCTATAGGAATAGAATAACCTATTTGCACTCAAAAAAACTCATTACAGCTAAATGTCTCAAAATTTGTCGGGGCGAGGAATGTGGTCTAATGGTAGTGCTTGCCTACCATGCATGAAGCACTGGGTTCGATTCCTCAGTACCACCTAAAACAGAAAAGGCCCGAAGTGGCGCTGTGGCTCAAATGGTATAGTGCTAGCCTTGAGCAAAAGAATCTCAGGGATAGTGCCCAGGTCCTGAGTTCAGGACTGGCAAAAAAAAAAAAAGAAAGAAAGAAAGAAATTATCACTACAAGTAAACAAATAATACAATATATTAAAATACTTTACAGGAAAGGAACTGTACCTCACCAAGGCATATTTCTAAATATATTTCCAAATATGTCTTAGTAAAGTTAAGGCTATTAAGTCATGTACTTCTTAAGAAAATAAAATCATTTTCATAACTTCTTTGTTTGTCATGAGGTTTTTTTTTTTTGTTTTTTTTTTTGGTCTGGTTGTGGGGCCTGAACTCTGGGCCTGGGCACTGTCCCTCAGCTCTTCAGCTCAAGGCTAGCGCTCTACCACTTGAGCCACAGTGCCACTTCCGGCTTTTTTCTTTTTGCTTATGTGGTGCTGAGGAATCGAACCCAGGGCCTCAGGCATGCAAGGCAAGCCTCTACCACTGAGCCACCTTCCCAGCCCCTGTCATGAGGCTTGAACTCAGGGCTATCTCTGAGCTCTTTTGCTCAATGCTAGCGAGCACTTTGAGCCACAACTCCACTTCCAGTTGACTGGCAGTTAACTGGAGAAAAAGTCTTACAGACTTGCCTGCCCAGGTTGGCTTCAAACTGTAATCCTCAGCTCTCAGCCTCCTGAGTAGCTAGGATTACAGGTATGAACCACCAGCACCTAGCTTCGTAACACTTCTTAATACAAGGGCTGGAAAAGCCTAACTCAAGTGGTAGAAAATACAAGGTACTGAGTTACTACCAATTTACCTTATTATCTGAAGTCCATGGAAGTCTTATTTTCCTTTTGGACATGAATTTAGGAACAGCTCAATATATCTATGCTCTGAAAACAATAGAAAAAAATGGGTTAGTTCTGAAAAGCTGAAATGCAAAAAAAAATATTGAACCTACTTTTCTTATTAGTTCAGCCAACAACCCAAATCCTTTGGCCTTTCCCTATTTAAAAGCAAGGCTGAAAGGAGATACAACAAAGTAAACAGGACTCGAGAAACAAAGGACCTCCACTCATCTTGTCATATCATTACTAAATGACCCCATGTTGTTGACCACAAATATGCTATATGTATGCACACATCTGAGGGAAATTAGGAGGAGGACACAGAATCAGAGGGAAAACAGAAACAGGGAAAAACATACAATAGAGGGGACCATCAGCTGCACTGGACATTGATGAAATGAACTAAGCAAGTCAAGGGCAGCGATGGGAGTAAGGGAATGAGAGGGAAAGAGGGAACAGCTAACACTAAGCAAAAGGAAAGAAATGTACATACCACCCAATGTGGAAGAAATAGCTGTATTGTCAAAGCTCAGAGAATTCACAAACTTTATAGACCATGATAATGACAATTTGCCTCATGAAAGTTAGAATGTGTTTGTGACTTCAAGTATCACTATCTCACAATACTGTGAAATTTATGTAATCAATCACAATAAAAAATTAAAATTAAAAAATTTTTAAAAATAAAAGCAAGGCTGAGCCAGGCACTGGTGGCTCACACCTATAATCCTAGATTCAGGAGGCTGACATCTGAGGATCATAGTTCAAGGCCAGCCCAGGAAGGAAAGACCATGACACTCTTATCTCCAAAAAACTACTAGAAAAAAGCCCAAGTACAGCTCAAGTGGTAGAGCACTAGCCTTATGCAAAAAAGCTTAGATACAGAGCCCAGGCCCTGAGTTCAAGCCCTAGAACTGGCACAAAAAAAAAGAAAAAAATAAAAACAAGGCTGAGTGCAATGGTACACAACTATAGTTCCTGTTACCTATATGCTCAGATGTGATCATTGCTTGAGCCCCTTCCAGCCTCATCAACAAAAGGAGACTTCCATCTCAAAACTCAATAGCCAAGTTCTAGGGGTTCACACCTAGAATCCTCTAGACTTGTATATACAATAAACCAGCAAGAAGCCGGAACTGGAGGTATAGCTCAAGTGGTAGAGCAACAGTCATGAGTGAAAAAGTAGAGCTAGAGTTCAAAGCCGTGAACTCAAACCCCAGTATTAGCAGAAAGCAAATTCAACACAATAAAAATAAAAAACTCTACCACTGTGTGGTAGAGTGCTACCCTCACATGCATGAGGCCTTGGGTTCGATTCCTCAGCATCACATAAGCAGAAACAAGCCGGAAGTGGTGCTGTGGCTCAAGTGGGAGGGCACTAGCCTTAAGCTGAAGAGCTGAGGGACAGCGCCCAGGCCCAGAGCTCAGCCCCCATGACCAACCAAAAATAAAATAGAAAACTTAGCCGAGTGCCAATGGCTCACACTGGATTCTAGCTACTCAGAAGGCTGAGAACTAAGGATTACAGTTCAAAGCCAGCCCAGGCAGGAAAGTCTGTAAGACTCTTATCTCCAATTAACCACCTAGAGTAAACCTAGAGTGGCACTGTGCTCAAATGGTAGAGTGCTCACCTTGGGCTGAAGACCTCAGGGACATTGCTCAGGCCCAGAGTTCAAGCCCCATGACCAAAAAAAATAAATAAACAAATAACATCTAAAGCAACAGGGAAAGCATTGGTAGTACTTACAAAGACAAACATCTAAAGCAACAAGGAAAGCATGGGTAGTACTTACGAACATGGGAACGATCCTTGAGCATAGCTGCAACAGCATCCTCATGGGTATCAAAGTGCACATCTGCTTCTCCAGTGGGCTTCCCACTGGAACTGTATTCCATGGTGATTCTTACAGGCTTCAGTGGAGCAAAAAACTAAACAACAAACACAACCAAAGAACATATTAAACTAGACCAAGACCAGCCACCAGTGGTTCATGTTATAATCCTAGCTACTCAGGAGTCTGAGATCTGATGACCCAGGTATGGAGCCCAGACAGGAAAATCCATGAAACAAAAAGCCAGAAGTGGAGATGTAGCTCAAGTGGTAGAGACAGCCTTAAGCAAAAAGCGCTCAGTGACAGCATTCAGGCCCTGACTTCAAGCTCCATGACTGACAATAATAAGAATCCAGCAAGGAAGGATAAAGCAAGCCTGTAATTACAGCTATTCAGGAGTAGGAACCAGGAATGAGTTGACTGTTAGCCTGGGAAAAGTTAGCAAAACCCAATCTCAAAACATGAGAAAAAGAAAGAAAGAGAGAGAAAGAGAGAATTTAAGAAGTTTAGCTTAAGTGGAAAAGCACTTGCCTAGCATGCTCAAGATCCTATGTTCAACCCAGTTTAAAAAAAAAAAAAGAAAGAAAGAAACAAGTCTGGAAAAAATGGTAACTCTGAGGCTTCACTAACTAAAGATCCTATGACTGAATCTATAGTTTATCTAGTACAGAGTCAAGGGCTTCATATTTTTCCCTTTTTAAAAATTTTATGAAGTATCTATTACAAAATAAGATTTATGCACCCAATATTCAATAGTGTACTGTGTTGCCAAGCTGTAATGCTCAACAGATTAGGTGTACTAAACACATTTCCAACCTCTGATGGGATTATCAGGGCATAATCACATAGTTCAGAAAAGAAACACTGATTTACAACTTTGCTGTGATCATGTACCTAAGTGTTTTTCTGTTTTTTTTTTCAATTAATTTTATTTTTCTGGCATATATTAAGGGGTTCCATTATGCTAGTTTCATAATTTTTTTTTTTCCTAACGTAAAAAATGAATGTTGATAGCCAAGGTTAGTAACAAACAGCACTCTGAAGACCAAGGTCAGAGAACAATGAATTCAAAGACAATATGGCTACACAGCAAAATTCTGCCTTAAAAAAAAAAAAATCAAGCTGGGCGCTGGTGGCTCACACCTGTAATCCTAGCTACTCAAGAGGCTGAGATCTGAGGATCACGGTTCAAAGCCAGTCCAGGCAATAAACCACTAGAAAACTGGAGGTGGCGCTGTGGCTTAAGCGGTACAGCACTCACCTTGAGCTGAAGAGCTCAGGGACAGCGCCCAGGCCCAGTTCAAGCCCCATGACCAACCAAAAAAAAAAAAAAAAAAAATCAAACCCATGTACAATGGGTTGAATCAATTTATTCTGGACTTCTTTGCTCTGGTGACTAAATCTATGCCATATTATTTTGTATCTACAAATCCTCTTGTCTGGCATTGGTGGTTCATGCCTGTAATTCTAGTTACTCAGGAGACTGAGATAAGGGATTGTGGGTCAAAGCCAGCACAGGCAGTAAAGTCCCTAAGACTCTGGAACAGAATCTGTGCCTAAAAGTGGTAAAGCACTAGCCTTGAGCAAAATAGCTCAGGGACATGCCTAGGCCCCTAGTTCAAGCCCCATGACCAACAAAACAAAAAGAAAACAATGATCCTATCTGTTTGACTGTTTTCACTTTAAAGTTAGTAAAAAGCCAAGTTTAAGTGACAGTCTATGCTGCCAACACTAGACTTAAACACCCAAGTACAAGTAATCCTCCAGCCTCAACCTCCCATTTGCAGGGAGTGTAGGTGCACTCACTGAGCCTAACTATACCATACTTTTCAGGTATAGAAATGATGAAAGTCGCTACAACAAGGGAGATGCTATCTTTTTTTTTTTTTTGTCGGTCGTGGGGCTTGAACTCTGGGCCTGGGCGCTGTCCCTCAGCTCTTCAGCTCAAGGCGAGCGCTCTACCACTTGAGCTATAGCGCCACTTCCGGTTTTCTGGTGGTTTATTGGAGATAGGAGTCTCACGGTCTCTCCTGCCCGGGCTGGCTTTGAACCGCGACCCTCAGATCTCAGCCTCCTGAGTAGCTAGGATTACAGGCCTGAGCCACCAGCGCCCGGCGGGGGATGCTATCTTACTGCCCAAAGACTAATGCATTTCTTCTCCTCCTTTCCCAAATGAATGCAAGTTCAATTTTAGGTTTTTATGTTGTTGTTGTTTTTGGGGGGAGTAGGTTTGGAGTTTGTTGTTGTTATTGTTGTTTTTTTGCCAGTCCTAGGCTTGAACTCAGGGCCTGGGCACTGTTCCTGAGCTTCTTTTGCTCAACACTAGCACTCTACCACTTGAGCCACAGCACCACTTCTGGCCTTTTCTGTGTACGTGGTACTAAGGAATTGAACCCAGAGCTTCATGCATGCCAGGCAAGCACTCTATCATTGAGCCACATTCCCAGCCTTGATTTTTGGTTTTTTTGGCCAGTTCTGGGACTTGAACTCTGGGCCTGGACACTGTCCCTGAGCTTTGTGCCCAAGGCTAGTGCTCTACCACTTGAGCTCCAGCTCCAGCTTTTTTTGGTAGTTTTAGTGGAGATAAGAGTCTCACAGACTTTCCTACTTGGGCTGGCTTTGAACTATGATCCTCACAGCTCAGCCTTCTGAGTAGCGAGGAATACAGGCATCAGCCACCAGCACCTGGCCAATTTTAGATTTTTGTTCAACTTTACTGACAATGGATATCTTACTGCCACACACATTTATAATGTCCTGCGCATTGGCTTGGAAAGGCAATCCTCTCATGTGGACAAAATGCATTGAAGGCGTAGTTCCAAAATCCACAGCCTCTGGAAGCTTTTCTGACATCTCTTTTGGCAATTCTGAGAGGTGGAACAAAAACATTGTTAAAGAAATAAAAGCTTCAAATCTATGAACATAATATAATCAGATATGACCTTAAGTCAAAAACCTTCAACTCTCCTTGAACCAGTACCGAATTTCAACTCCCCTGGCTTAACAAGTATTATGTGAATACCCACACACATTCAGTGCCTCACAACATTACCAAATCAAAAACTTATCTTTTTGCAACAAGAGGGAAAGTTAAATGGTCTTGAATTAAAACTATAAAGCAGGGATGGGAAGGTGGCTCAGTGGTAGAGTGCTTGCCTTGCATGCATTAGGCCCTGGGTTCCATTCCTCAGCACCACAGAAACAGAAAAGCCAGAAGTGGTGCTGTGGCTCAAGTGGTAGAGTGTTAGCCTTGAGCTGAAGAGCTCAGGGACAGCGCCCAGGCCCAGAGTTCAGGCCCCATGACCAACAACAACAAAAAAAAACTATAAAGCAAGGGAAACTTTCTAAACTATTACTGGAACAAACAATAAAACAAAAGCCACAACTTGGATAATGGGAAATCCCCACAGTACTATTTTTAAAGGTATTTATGCAATTTCAAAGATCCTAAATGTTGCTCTGGAATTAGGAAACAGAGAAAACATTAATTCAGAAACAAATCTTTAGCCAGTGTTCTGGCTCTGTATTGAAATGCTTCCCTACTCAATGGTGATTTTATTTCCTTTTTTTTTCCTACCTTTTTAATGTAGAAAAAATTTAAAAGCCTAACATGTTGATGCAAATGGCTGCCTATAATCCTAGTTACTGAAGAGGCTGAAAACTGAAAATTGTAGTTCAAAGCCAGCCCAGAGAGGAAAGTCCATGAGACTCTTATCTCCAATTAACCAGCAAAAGGCCAGAAGTGAAGCTGTAGCTCAAATGGTAGAACACAAGCCTTGAGCAAAAAGTTCAAGTCTAGGCCCTAAGTTCAAGCCCCAGCTTCAGCACAAACAAACAAAAAACCAAATACCTAACAGAATAGCTAAGCCCTTCTTCAAATACAATCATTCCATGTATATTCTATACTCAAAGACATAAAATATTTCCCAATTCTTTTGTCCTGCAATCTCAGTTTCAGAAAACATGACAACACAAAAAGTTGACCACCACCAAAAATATACAAGGTATATCCCAAGGGATATTGAGAAGAGGCAAGACCTTACCTATCTCCTTCTCACTTTCAAAAGCTGTCACGGGTCGCATATCCTCATTTACTTCATGCTCTTCAAATACCATTTCTGGCTCAGTTATGTACTTAGTAGTAGGAGAAGATGCCATTTTCTTTCCCTTATGAGAGCCAACATGCGTTCGAACTTCATTCCTTCTGCTTGGAAATATCTCTATGTATCTGTCAAAGCAAAAATGACTAGGCACAATTGTTGCTAGGTAACTTTACACTGAACTCTTCAAAAATAATCAGGTATATATTGTTTTAAAATAACCAGGTATTTATATCCACAGCTTATGAAACCCAAAAATAACAGGTAGTAGGAAAATTAAAATTGGACATAGATTTAAAGACATGAAAGAGTACTCTCAACAGATCAATAAATTAATCTTTTTTGCCTTAAGGCTTTACCTCAGGTAAGTTTGCTTAACAGATTTTTTTTTGCCAGTACTAGGGTTTGAACTCAAACCCTTGAGTTTACTGGGCTTGTTGCTCAGCTGGTGCTCTAAGTCATGCCTCAAGCCAGTTTTTTGCCAGTTATTTTGGAGATGGAGTCTCTTAGACTTTTCTGTCTGGACTGGCAACAAATTTCAATCCTGACAATCTCAGTCCCTTGAATAGCTAGGATGATAGATATGAGCTACAGGTATCCAATCTATTTTATGCATATATACTTTCAACAATATTTTTTATTGTTTTGCTTCAAAAAAACAACTATGCTAATGTTAATTGTGGGTATAACATTCTAGTAACACAGTTGTGTTGTTTGTCCTCAAGATTTTCTGTTTCAAGTAAAGTCCCTAGAGTGACTGTCCTGGGAGGTTCTGAGGAACCTTAAGAGATGGGTCTTACCATGGGAAAGAAATATTCGTCTCTTGAAATCAGCACAGGCCAGTAATTCTCACCCTGATCTCTGAGACACTCTGCTTTCAGTTCTATACTATGCTTTTTTTTGTTTGTTTGTACCAGGGTTTAAACTCAAAAGTTTGTTCCAGCTTCTTGTTTTCTGGCAAACTACCAGTTCTGCCATGCCTCCAGCTCAGCCCTTTTTTGCTGGCTACATTTCTGTAGTTGGAGTCTCATGGGTTTTTCTGCCAGACCTCAGCCCACTGAGTAGCTAGGATTACAGACTTGAGGCAATTTTTTTTTTTTTTTTTGTTAGTTTGTGGGGTTTGAACTCTGGGCCTGGGCACTGTCCCTGCGCTCTTCACCTCAAGGCGAGCACTCTTACTGCTTGAGCCACAGCACCACTTTTGCTTTTCTAGTGGTTTATTGGAGAAAAAAGTCTCACAGACTTTCCTGCCCAGGCTGGCTTTGAACCGCAATCCTCAGCTCTCAGCCTCCTGAGTAGCCAGGATTACAGACGTGAGCCACGGTTTACCTGAGGCAATTTTGCCCAGCCCTGAGATGTGATTTTTATTCCCATGCTCGAAACCTGCATTTTGCCAAACTCTGCACCACATTGTCTGAACTTTCAAAAATAAATCTATTTCTTCATAAATAGCCTGGCCCAAGCATTTGTTACACCAAAATAAATAAATACAGATTAATATGGTTGATTAACATTCTTTCGAAGATTTGCATTCATTGTAAGTGTGACTCCAGTCTGGACAACACAGTGAGACCCTGCCTCAAAAACAAAAAAAACTAAGTTTTAATTCTAACTAACTTGTCAAGATACTGTAGTGGCAGTGGGACTATTTATCAAACCCAAGCTTCTTTTTCTCATTACTAGTTTTCCAAAGGAGATTAAGTGTGAGCTGTAAAAATCATCCATATTGGGCTGGGAAGGTGGCTCAGTGGTAGAGTGCTTGCCTTGCATGCATGAGGCCCTGGGTTCTATTCCTCACTACCACATAAGCAGAAAAAAAGCCAGAAGTGGCACTATGGCTCAAGTGGTAGAGTGCTAGCTGAAGAGCTGAGGGACAGCACCCAGCCCCAGAGTTCAAGTCCCACAACTAGCCAAAAAAAAAAAAAAAAAAAATCATTCATATTTACAAACCTTAAAAAAATCAAAGCTCCATACAGAGTACTTTGCCTACCATGCAAGGCTCAAAATTCAATCTCCCAAACCCCAAAGGGAAGAGGGGGAATAAATGCTAATGAGCACTACTTCTTTAAAAGCATGTTTGAGTACAGGGGAGTGGTGGTACCTATAATCCTGGCACTAGGGAGGCAAAGGCAGAAATATTACAAATTGGAGGCCAGCCTGCGCTGCAATCCTGTAAGTAGATGCTGCTGAAATACATTGGTTTTGGAATGGTTTGCTTGTTTTTGTTGTTTTTAATTCCAAAGGAACTGAGTAAAAAAGACTGAAAGCGACAAAAACAATAATTTAAAATAGGACCACTTTTTCTCTTATCTCCCAAATTGAGATCAAGACATGAATCACCTCATCACATCATAATGTGCATTGTAATTTGAACAGGAGACACAGTGTAAGACAACTGACCCAATTCTTCCAAAGCCAACTGTATTTAAGAAGAGAGAAAACAAAGGAGAAATGCTCTAGTTTAATAGGATTAGAGACATATCAAATGGAAAATGTGGTTTGTCTAGATTCTCATTCAACCAACCAACTACTAAACAGCCATTTTTGGTATACTTAAGAAAATGTGGCTATAAGTTTACTAGATAATAAAAATATTGTTAACTTTAGTAGATGTGATAACATTTTGACTATGTAAGATAATGTATTCTTTTAGATACATACAGGGCCAGGGATCAGTGGCTAACTTATAATCCTAGCTATTCAAGAGGCTGAAATATAAGGATGGAGGTTTGAAGCCAGCCCAGGCAGACAAATCTAAGAGATCCTTTTATTTTTTTGGTAGTCGTGGGGCTTGAACTCTAGTCTTGGGCGCTGTCCCTGCACTTTTCAGCTCAAGGCGAGCACTCTACCACTTGAGCCACAGTGCCACTTCCGGATTTCGAGTGGTTAATTGGAGATAAGAGACTTTCCTGCCCCAGCTAGCTTTGAACTGTGGTCCTCAAATTTCAGCCTCCTGAGTAGCTAGGATTACAGGCATAAGCCAGCTGCGCCCAGCTTCTAAGAGATTCTTATCTCCAATTAACCAGCAAAAAGTCAGAAAGGAAGGTATGGCTCAAGTGGTAGAACATTAGTCATGAGTGGAAAAAGCCAAGTAAGAGGTCTAAAACCTTGAGTTCGAGCCCTAGTACTAACAACAACAACAACAACAAAAATACATACAAAATTGGGAAATAGCACAAGTGGTAGAGCACCTGCCTAGCCATGCAAAGATCCAAGTACTACTCCCTCTAAAAGGCACATACAGAAAAAAAAAAAAAAAGAAATATAAAATGTTAATTTATTAATCCAAGTGTTGGGCATTTGGGGGCTCAGTATACATCTTCTCTACTTTCCTATGTTTGGATAATTTTCCAGTCTTATTACAATGCATGCATCAAGATGACCTGAAGTGTAATACCCTGCCATCACTAGTATCTGCTTCACTCACCGGTTACCAATTTCTTCCCTGTGTTTCAAAAGAGCTTGGCTGGCCATTTCTGGTTCTTCAAACTGTACATAGGCTTCCCCTGTTTTCCTTCTCCCTCTATAGTCCATTACAAAAGTAATGTCTACTATATTCAGTCCTAGGATGAAAAAAATTATTACAAATTTGTGCTGCTCATAGGAGGTTTGAAATTAACACATTCACTCATGTACTAATAAAATTTGTATGCTGTTTGGCCAATTCCAAAGCTAGACCCATGCTTAAAAGAGGAGACAGCTTTTATGCAGCCAAAAATTAGCAACACTTTCTACTTGGGATTTCCAGGATGTTTAGAGTACACACAACTCTTTCTCTCGAGGTTTTATTTTGTTCAGGGTATTTTGTTTTGTTTTATTACCCATTATAATACTGTTTCAGGGACAACAGGCATTTAGTCTAACATTACTACTATTAGTGCATATTTGGCTAGGCACCCATGACATATAGTATAGTCCTAGCTACTCAAGAGGCCAAGACCTAGAGAATCTCAATGAAAGCCAGCCCAAGCAGAAATGTCTGTAATACTCTATCTCCAAACCAACAAAAAGCAAGGCCAGAGGTATGGCTCAAGTCATAGAAAACCAGCATAAGCAAGAAAAGCAGAGCAATAGCTGGAAGCCCTGAGTTCAAGCCCCAGTACCAGTACAAAAGGGAAAAAAAAAGGTGTTTATTTCACAGCTAGCAATTGAGTAATACTGTGGAGGGTGGGGGAAGACTTGAACTCAGAGACTGGATGCTGTCACTGAGCAAGCTTTTTTGTTTTGCTCAAGGCTAATGCTCTATCACTTGAGCCACATCTCGACGTCCAGTTTTGGGTGGTTAATTGGAGATAAGTCTCACAGACTTTCCTGACCAGGGTGGTTTTGAACCATGATCCCCAGATTTCAGCCTCCTGAGTTGCTAGGATTAAGACAGGTGTGAGCCACTGGCACCCGGCCTAATATTTTTAAATCATACACACTGTCCTAGAAAAATATGGCCACTATTCTAAAAAGCTGTGTTTTTCAGCAGTTAAACCCTTATGAGTTATTTTGAATCAGACATCCCAAGGTTTACTTGAAAGACCAAAACATTTCTAAAGTATAAAAAGAAGAGATAATAAACTGGGAGATGGATATTAGACCCTAAATATCAAATAACAAAGCACCTGCAAAGAAGTCTACAATGTCTTTTTCATTGCAACTGTAAGGAAGTCCTCTCAAACGAACCACGCCGTCATTTACTGCAGGTGATGATTTGACCTGCAGGCTCTTCATTAAGGCATCTACATCTTCATTATTTATCTCATAGACTACAAAGGAAAGCACATAACAGATGTAAAATTTACATTACAAAAGAACAAAGAATTTTAAAGATTCAAATATATTATACCAAGGGTAGTATTATCCAAGAATTTGAACACTACTAGCTCTAATCTATATACTCTTCTCTCAAGAAAATACCAAATAACATTTATTTAATAAGTATGAGTGTCAGATACAACCCATTTAATCCTCACAATTTTTAAGATAAACTTAGTCATTACCATTTATAGGTAAGAAACAGGTCAGGCACATGTGGTTCATAGCTATGATCCTAGTTACACAGGAGGCTAAGATTTGAAGACAGGGATTCAGAGCCAGCCCAGGCAGAAAAATCAGTGAGACCTTTATTTCCAATTAACTAGCAAACAAAAACAAAGAGGAGCTCTGGCTCAAGTGGTAAAGTGCCAACCTTGAATACGCCAATCAAGGTTTCAAATCCCTGAGTTCAAACCCAGTACCAGCATTACAAATAAAAATAAAACATTATCTCTGTGTCTCATCGCTCACAAATCATACAATGTTATTACAACTACCTTACTATTGTTAAAAATCAAATAAAAACTGCCTTGATATAAAATCTAATGTAACATCTCAAAAAGCCAGACTAATTTTACATACCTTCCACATACCGCTGGCCCATGTACATCCGGTGCTTTTCTAAGGCTTTCTGCACATCCTGCTCTGACTCCATTTCAATTAAGGCATCTCCCCTTCGCTTCCCATCTCTGTTTAAGAGGAAATGTATTCCATTCTCACTATTTCGGATTCTGCAGTCTAAAGGCATATGAATAAAGTCAATCAAAAACAAATCAAACTCATAGCTCAATTATGCAAGTCACTAGACTACAATTTTCCAACAACGCAGGAACTAAAATGATTATCACACATGAGTGAAAGGAGACTGAACAGTGGGAAGCAGTGGGAGATAAAAAGATTATAAAGATAATCAAAGTACATTGTATGTGTACATATATGTATGAAAACACCATAACAAAACCTGCTAATAACTTTAAAAAGTGGGGGGACAAAGGCAGGGAGTTAAGAATAATATAGATAGCTGAGTCTGATTCAGAATACATTATCAAAACATGTGTAAATATCACAATGCCTTTGTATAATTACTTTACACTAATAAAAAAAATTGTCTATCATTCTTTTTACACAAATTCCTACTTACTGAAGTCATCCAAACACTAATGAGGTGATTGTATCTAAAATATTCCTAGTATAATACACAAGCAAACTTTAGGACAGATGCTTATGCCAACCATTAAACCACAAGTCAAACTAGGCTCAATACAAAATGAATTTGTCCAACCCAATGTTCCAACATCAGTTTCAAATCACTTAACGAAATGAAGTATGGTTGAATTTATTCCTAAATTTAAAATCATATTCTTAAAATAGCTCCTATACAAAAAACTTGCTGATGGGTGAGGTGGCTCAGCCTGTAATCCTAGCTACTCAGGAGGCAAGAGATTACAGGATTAAGGTTAAATACTAGCCTGGAGTACTATAAAAGTTCAAGAATTTCTATCAGGACTGGGAAGGTGGCCAGTGGTAGAGTGCTTGCCTTGCATGCATGAGATCCTGGATTCGATTCCTCAGCACCACATAAGAAAAAAGAAAAAAGCCGGAAGTGGCGCTGTGGCAAGTGATAGAGCGCTAGCCTTGAGCTGAAGAGCTGAGGGACAGCACCCAGGCCCAGAGTTCAGCCCCAAGACCAGACCCCCCCCCAAAAAAAATAAAAAAGAATTTCTATCAAATCAAAGGCTGGGCACAGTGGTACATTCTTTATTATCCCATCTTTGGGGGAAGCACAAATAGGAGGATTGAAGCCTAAGCTTCAATTGAGATCCTACCTCAAAACTAGCCAACACAAAATGGAGGAGGCATGGCTCAAGTGGTAGAGCACCTGCTTAGCAAGATGGAGACCGTGAATTCAATCCCCAGTACTACCAAAAAAAGTTTGCTGCAATAATTTAATTTTTCTCTCTTTTCATTACATGTCTATACTGTGTATTTCTTATAATGCAAGTCAAAGACATAAACTGCAAATGGCTTTACACAACGCTTAACTCACACTGTGAGTTAATATACACATATACTGTGTATATTTAAGGCATCCACTCAGTTGTATCCTTTAAAAACCTTTAAAGAGGAAAATTTAAGTATCATAGACAAAAGCCAGGTTCTGGCTGCTCATGCCTATAAATCCTAGGTACTCAGGATGATGAGATCTGAGGACTGAGGTCCGAAATCAGCCTAGGTAGGAAAGTCCTTGACAGTCTTATCTCCAATTAATCACCAAAAGGCTAGAAAGTTGAGTTGTGGCTCAAGTAGCACAGCAATAGCCTTGAACAGAAGAAAGGTCAGAGACAGTACCCCGGCCCTGAGTTCAAGCCTCACAGCCAGCACCAAAAAAGAAAAGAGAAAAACAGAAGAAGAAAAAAAAAACCCACATCACAAATACAAAAACTAAAAGATTAACCACAATATTATTTTATTTGTACAAGTAATCTTTCATTCTAAATGTGTAGATTACATAGACACTACTCTTAATTCCTTATTTCCACTAATAGTAAGTTTGAATTTTTGTTATGCATGCATTAAAACTTCAGAGAAAACTGACTTCATATCCTGCATTTAACATTAATTTTGTTATATTCAATCTTTAAATCTATATGCCACCAATGGTGTACATGTCACATGTATGTACAGGTCATATGTCACATGGTATGAATATATAACTAACCAAAATGAGATAATTCTAACCATCAAAAATGGTACCTCCTGAATTTCAGTTTCACAGAACTACCTTTCACTCATATGAAATTATATATTTAAAACACACGTAATATATACCTGAGAAAAAGTTAAGTACATCTTCCACAGTGCATGACCAAGGCAATCCTTGAGCTCGAATGAGATAAACATCATCCACTTCCTCCCCTAACTTAGATGAGCTCAATTCGTACTCAGGCAGTGGCGGAAGGTCTTCCAGATAGGTAGTTTTGGATTCCTTTCAAGAAAAAAAAGCAATGTAAAAATACTTTTTGACCATCTACTCAGAAAACGTTTATTTCTACAAATAAATGCTCTAGTTGTTCTATCATTTCAGAATTGAAAAAAAAAACTTCATAGTTAACATGTCATATTTTGGCATAAATTGAATATACTAACGCAAGTAAGCATAATGTAGCAGTTTGGTAGACATAAATTTTACTGAGCTTATTTATAAATTCATCAACTTCAAATTTTACCTAATAATAATTTTTTTGTTTATTACAGGGCCCTGCTCCATAGCCCAACCATCCTCCTCGCCTCAGCTTCAATAATCCTGGAAATAAGTATTTTAGTTAAGGCAATACAAGAAGGGTCCTTACAATTTAATAAATGAGTGCATGCTACCCAAATTGCACTACCATACTAAATCCCCATCCCAAAGAGCTTAGTCTCTTCAATGAGTATGCAAGCCAATATATTGCAAGGGCTATAATTAAGATACCCAAAATACTATAAGAATCTAAAACAGAACACTAACAGAAAAAGAATCAATACATAACATGAGATGAGCTCTGAAGGAAAATAAAGCCATTCCAGAAGTAAGGGGAGGGCTGGGAATATGGCTCAGTGGTAGCATGTTAGCCTTGAGCAAAAGAAGTTCAGGAACAGTGCCCAAGCCCTGCATTCAAGCCCAGGACTGGCAAAAAAAATAAATTTAAAAAAAAAAAAAGAAGGGCTGGGTAGTTGGCTCAGTGGTAGAGCGCTTGCCTTGCATGCCTGAGACCCTGGGTTCGATTCCTCAGCACCACATAAGCAAAAAGAAAAACGCCAGAAGTGGCGCTGTGGCTCAAGTAGTAGAGTGCTAGCCTTGAGCTGAAGAGCTGAGGGACAGCACTCAGGCCTGACTGGACCCCACTGGCCCCACGACTAGACCCAAAAAAACAAAAAAAAAAGAAGTGAGGGGAAAAGGCAGTATGAACAAAGGTATAGTTTAAAAACGGTAATTAATCCTACTTTTCTTCAAAATAAAAACAAGAGCCAAAGATGATGACTGGCAAAAGGAACTTGGTACCACATAGCAGGAAGGTCTTAAGTGTGGGATTCAATGTGTGTCCTTAACTTGGTAGGCAAAAGGAAGTTAATAAAATGCACTAATGAGTGGGAAAATCAACAAGGCATCAGGGGGCCTTGGAAAGATCAATCTGTCAGACTAACTAAACGAGGGAAACATAAAAAGTCAATGGCTTCAGTGTGAGGTTAACAGGAGCCTGAGATGTACCTAGAGTACTCTATTTTATGACTAAGCCAAAATGGTAATGCAGTAAGTAGTAAGAGTCCAACAAGCACTACATCCATATCCTGAGAAAACAAGGCTCTAGTACTTAAAATCTACAGGATAGACTATCTGTGCTCTATTCATGTGTTCATACAGAACTGTCTCATTTTAAGGACTCAAGAATGAATGCAAGCACAATGTCTAACACTTCCTGGATAACTGAATAGGTCTTGTGAATTTCGGGGGGGGGGGGGGGGACCAGTCGTTCGTTTTAAAGCAACTTTCCTCATTTTCCCAGATTCTGTAAGCATCACAAGCTTTTGACAGAGAAGGACAGCAGAGAGGTATTGGGCCAGGATTCAAATCAATTAGCTCAGCTACTGGCAAGACAGAAGCCCTGCTGATTAACCTTCCCGTTTCCACAAATTCAAGGAGAAGTACAAATTGAATAAAATAAATAAACACGACCCACGGCATCAGGGGAAGTGAGGCATGGAAAAGTGAGCAGACACTTCCCAGGTGCCACGTCGTAACAAGCACAGAGGATGCATCCCATGCAAGGCACAAAACATTTGCAACCTGAGCTCTTAACACGTCTTTAGAATATATATATATATATGGAAAGTAACAGAAAATCACAGAGTGACAACTGAGCCCCCCAAATCGTTGCCCCCCACCCCGAACTCCCCCACGCCACACACCTCCTCCCCCAACATCCAATAGCCGCCCCAACTAGTCTCACAACCGGCGGCGACCCAGTCCTGAAGAACCTTCCGTCAAAGGCAGTGGAGGTGCAAAGGTGACCTTCAGTCATCTGGGGTAACCCGCCTTTCCCGAGGACCCGAGACCCGGCGCGCGGGGGCGAGCCCGCGCCGCCGCGTGCGTGGCCCGGGCCGCCGGGCCTAGCGCCGCGGCTGCCCGGGGAACTCCCCCACCCTCCCACCCGCGGGTGCAGAGCGAGAGGGATGCGGGGTGGGGGGCGTCCGCAATCCCGCAAAACCTACCATGGGCCCGGCGGCAAACAAGGCCTCAACATTCACCCCAGCCACACTTACACTGCCCAACCGGCCGACCCAACTGGACAGGGGAAGAACAAAACCAGGAGAGAACCCGAGGCCTTGAGACCGCGTCCCTGGTCCCCGTGCCCAATGGGAGGACGGAGGGAGGCGGGTGTGCGGCGCGGGTGGCCGATCCCCGGGCGCGCGCGTGCGCGCGACGCACGCGGAGGGACACGCACCCGAGGAGGGCCCCCCGACGCGGCGCCCACGTACCTGGCAATAACCCCGCGCCGGGCCCGCGGCCGCGGCCAGCGCCTGCGGCAGCAGAGGGGCGCGCAGGGCCGCGTAGGAGGCGGCCGCCGGCGGAGGGCCCGCCAGCCTCCCGGCGGGCGCAGGCCCCGAGTGAAGGCCTCGCGTCTGGGAGGCGGAGGCGGCGGCCGCGGCGGCCCCGAGCAGCAGCAGCAGGCGGCGCCGGCCCGACACGCCCGAGGGGAAGGAGCCGGCCGCCGAGTAAAAGGGTAGACACGCGGCGCCCGTGCGCCGGCAGCTGCTGCAGTTACAGCCGCAGCCCCGGAGCAGCGCCCCGAGGACCCAGCGCGTCCCGGCCATGGACTCCGAAGGCGACTCGGGGCCTGAAAGCGGCGACTGCCGCGGCCGCGCGGGCGCTGGGGAAGCGGAATCCGGGGCCGTGGAGCGGGGACCGGCACATGCGCCGCGGGCGCGGGGGCAGCGGAGCGCGCGCAGCCCCTCCCTGGCCACGCCCCCGGGGCGGGGCCTGGGCGGGGCTGTCAGAGGGGGAGAGGGGGACGGGCGGGGCGAAGGACCCGGGTCAGGTAGGAACTTTTGCCACAGGTCATCTTTCTTTGTTTTACAGTGCAATTCTTGCTTCATGAGGATAGTGCGTGTTACAAAAGATTCACCCCTTCCCTCATGGTTCCTGGTAGTCCCAAGTGCACAGGTGTGTGCACTTTTCCTCCTGTGGCCAGAACCTGTCAGAGACCAACATAATAAAGATAAAGGCTAAGGGAAATAGTTTATTAAAAAAAAAAATCTCGGAGGAAACATTGTGAAGATTTAATTTTTATATCAATAACCACCTTGAACCAAAAGCTCAGGGTCAGCGCCTAGGCCCTGAGTTCAAGACAAAAAAATTTTAAAAAAAAAACTAAGTTAAAAAGTCAAGGTTCTTCAGAAATGGAGCTGTGACTCAAATGGTAGAACAGTAGTAGACTTGCGCAAAGAAGCTCAGGGACAGTGCCCCGGGCCTGAGTTCAAGCCCCAGGGCCGGTCCAAAATATATATACATAAAATGAAATAAAAACCCGAATAGTTTTAAAAAGGGTAAAAAGTCAGTCTTCTTCCTACACCCGAAGATCTTTTAAAAAAAAAAAAATCACAAAATATGTATAAAACTTCTTGGGGAACCATTATAAAATTTTATTAAAAGACATGAAAAAAATAGATTAAATGTTGATTGAAATATGACCAAAAAAGTTCCAGTCTTTACAAATAAAAATGTAAAGTTATAGAATACTATTTTCAACTCAACTGGAAATAGCCCTTAATTCTTAACATTCTTAACATTTAAGAATGCTAGTTATTTAACTTTTTATTATAGAAGTAAAAAGACTTACTCGAAAAAAAATATTGACTGTTTTCAACTAGAATAGTAGCAATGGAGATGAAGGGGAAGGAGGAGATTTGAGAAAGGTTCTCCAACTACAGAGTCAGGATTCGAGGCTTGAATAAGGAGAATTCTATTATTTTATTGTTACTGTATTTGAAATTTCATTAAGGGAGATGACCTTTCACCTCTGAAAAAGCTTCAAGTTAAATATATGTTACAGACTTAAATGTCAAATTCACTTTGTGTCAAGCCTGTGCAATCTGATCTCAAACTATTTTTTTGAGGGTTGAGCTGCTGATGTGGATAAGATTGCCTAGGACCAAGTTTACAGTGAGATGAAGAGGCCTAGAAACAAGACTTGGGCTATTGGTATATCTAATATCCTATAGAAGAAAACCTGGAAGGAGAAAGAGAAGAGGAACAACAAGAAAGGTAAGAGCATCCAGGAGAGTGTTTCTGGAATGAAAGGGAATTTATTCAAGAAGTAAATGCTGCTGGTCATGGAAGTATATACCTGTAATCCCAGCACTCAGGAGGCTGAGGCAGGACATGAGGTGAAAGGCTGCACAGACTGTCTCAACTCACCTCTTCTCCCTGTCACCCACACAAAAAGTGTCAGATCCTTGCTAAAATCAACACTTACTCATCTAGTGAGATGAGCACATAAAATTTTTTTAAGTCTTAAATTTAACGATGTGGAAGGTTTCAACAACCTTACCCACTTTTTTGGGGGGAGGGACCAGTACTAGAATTGAACTTAGGGCGCAGTACATTGTCCTGTCTCTTTTTTGCTGACAGCTAGTGCTCTGCCACTTGAGCCATAGCTCCAGGCTTTCTCATTGTTAACTGAAGATAAGAGTCTCACTGACTTTTCTGCCTGGACTGGCTTCAAACCTAGATCCTCAGATTGCATGGTTCGGAATAGCTAGGATTACAACATGAGCCAATAGTGCCTGGCTTCCACAATTATTTGAGGTAGTGATGGCAAAGACCAGACAAAGTAGAGGTGAAGAAAAGAATGTGGAAGTGCCAAAAAACAAAGTTGACTTTGTAGGTGAAGATAGGAATAAGGGAGTAAAGGAAATAATAGGTCAAAAGTGGGTTTCATTCTGTTTGGGTTAAGTGTGAAGAAATTAGAGCATGCTGAACAGATGATGGGAGGAATTTAGTTGATAAGTAGCCATAAACACATTGAATTGATGTGTACGTCCCAAGAAAAGTAAAAGAAGGCACCAAAGCTCCAGTGCAAGCATTAGCTTTAAACATATAGTTTTGCCACCTTTTCTATAAACCATAAGTCATACTGTGGCTGGGAAGGTGGCTCAGTGGTAGAGTGTTTGCCTTGCATGCATGAGGCCCTGGGTTCGATTCCTCAGCACCACATAAGCAAAAAGAAAAAAGCCGGAAGTGGTGCAGTGGTTCAAGTGGTAGAGTGCTAGCCTTGAGCTGAAGAGCTGAGGGACAGTGCCCAGGCCCAGAGTTCAGGCCCCACGACCGGACCTCCCCCCCCATAAATCATACTGTTTTCTGGTATGGTTACTTAACACTTAAGATAGGAATCTAGCCGGGCGCTGGTGGCTCACGCCTGTAATCCTAGCTACTCAGGAGGCTGACATCTGAGGATCGCGGTTCAAAGCCAGCCCAGGCAGGAGAGACCGTGAGACTCCTATCTCCAATAAACCACCAGAAAACCGGAAGTGGCGCTGTAGCTCAAGTGGTATCACGCTCGCCTTGAGCTGAAGAGCTGAGGGACAGTACCCAGGCCCAGAGTTCAAGCCCCACGACCAACCAAAAAAAAAAAAAAAGATAGTAATCTATACCACGTGGCACTGACAGGTTACCATTCTACTGCTTTGAGGGTTTCAGAAGTAGAGCTAGTTTAAATTGGAAGAACAGTCTTGATTTAGGGGAGAACAAGGAGAAAGGAGAAAACAATCATCTCTAGGAAAGTGTTCAAAAGAAATCCTCATAGCTGTAAAGAGTACTTTATAATGAGCTGGGAGAGAAGATAGCAGGGAGTAATTGTTCTGGTTACTAATAAAAACGTGAAGGAATTCATTTTATTATCTGTGCCCTTCAATTCTTAGAGGTGAACATGCTTTTCTTCTGATATGCAAGGAAGCTGAGTTCATCTCAAAGGGTCCCACAGAACAACCTTCTTTGCACTTAAAAGGAGCTAAAAATCATGAACCATGGATGTCAACAAGCCTAGGGCAGCAAAAGGAAAAGGAATGAAAGTCATCTTGTACCATAAAGAAATAGAGCCCATTTGTGTAACCTGTGATTAAAGAGCTATTCATCATTAGAGATTAAAGGAAGTTTATTAGGTTGAGTATATTCAAGAGATTGGAGAATTGAGGTTACCAGTTATTTTCAAGGGAAGACAAAGAAATGCGTTTTATAACCACTCTCATTGCCTTACTCTCCTTTCTGAAAAGAAAAATATCTACTGAGTCCACAAACTCAAAGAACTGCTCTGACCTCATTCAGTTATATGTTCTTTAGATTGGCTTTATCAGTGGCTTATATTCATTATTATCAAGCCCATACTACACAAGTTTTTTGTCTATTATATAAGGTTTTTTTTTCCTGTGAAGAAATAAAACACATGTACTTAGGACTGACACCTAACCAACCCATGCAACCTAAAACACTGTTTCTTAGATTATTCACTTGTTGAAGTTTTAACTTAATAGAGCTCTGGGAAAGATGACTAGTTGACTTGTTATCTAAATGAAATAATCCATCAAGAAATAGAAAAATTCCTGGGGTGGAGAGAGAATGATGAAAGGGGTTACTCTAATTGAGATGTATTGTACACATAAATTGACCTATTGAACTGAAAACTCTTCTTACAACTGTTCAAAGTGAAGAATTTTAAGAGAGAGGAGAGAAAGGAAAGAAGGGATCAAATTGCAAAATAAAAATGAATGTATTGGTTTCAATTGAGATATTATCTTGTTTATATTTTTCTTCTTGAGAACGTTACGCAGGCTAGCCACATGCTCTGGGTCTCAAACAATCCTCCTGCCTCAACTTCCTGACAGCTGTGACTACAGGCAAAATGCCATCACATCTGCTAAAGAATATTTTATATTAAAAGTTCACTTCTTCCAGGTGCTGGTAGCTCATGCCTATAATCTCGCTACTCAGGAGACTAAGATCTAATGATCAAGGTTCATAGCATAGCAGAAAAGTTCCTAAGACTTTTATCTCCAATTAACCAGCAAGTGGAGATGTGACTCAAGTGCCAGAGCACCAGCCTTGAGCTAAAAAGCCAAACAGTAGCATGAGGCCCTGAATTCAAGCCTTTGTACCAGCACATGCACACACACTTCTTCCCTAGCAAATATTTACCACTAAACTACTAAATATGTAAATTGTATTTCTGAGGAATTCCTAAGAATAATGTCAGCATAATTATTATAAGATAGATGAAGCAATGACAAAACGGATTTATCTGTGAATAGTAAGGCAGTGCTACTATGTGAAGCTCAGTGTGGGGATAGTTAGAGGTGGAATGATAGAGAACAGCCATATTTACAAAGATGAGGTGATAAGAGCCTTTTGCAGTCCAGCTACTGAATAGTTATAACAACTACATTTTTCCTGGCAAGTCAAAAGCTAGTAGTGTGCAACCAGAGCCCAAGACGCTGAGCATCAAGTGAAATGAGCTATGAAGCATGTGAAATCTTGGTGAATAGGCATCATCTGAATAATCATCTTTTTTTTTTAAGAGGTAATACATAAACTTAGCATAAAAAGTTAAAGTATGCAAGATTATATATATAATTATTGTATATGTTGTATAATATGTATAAATATTGTATATATATTATATATGTAAGTGGGTAGATGCATAGAGTTTGCCTGTAACCACTGTATACTAGTCATCCAGTTATCAAAGATACATACTATTCGCTGTTATTTGGACATCCTTTCAAAGATGATTTGTGCAGTGTTTTGTCACTTTTTAAATTTGATGATTCCAATGGATTCTGGCAGCTCAGGCCTGTAATACTAACTAGATCTCAGGTGGCTGGGATCTGAGGATCTCGGTTTGAAGCCGG